GTGCGTGCGTTATACGTTGCCAGGTCGAGTCGTCGTAGGTGGCAACCGAACCTCCACCGGAGATTCTTAGCATCCCCTGCCCCGCCGTTACTATGGTCGCCACCGTAGCCAGGAATAGCGGGGCCGCCGGGGACTGGGGCCGTTTGTTTGCGTCATTGCTCATGGGGGGATATTTGCCATAGTTGCCACGCTTGGCGAGCGGGTTGGCAACCGCAGTTTTTTATTATATTATTGTTGTTATCAGGAAGATGCTGCTGCCCATCTCCTGCCTGTCTCCCTCTGTCGCCTCTTACGACACCCACGGGGTGATATGGGGTAGTGGATATTCCCAACCGCCACTACAGGGCAAGACTGTATTAGCGTTCACTAATTATCTGGTGATCCTCAAGGTACCTCATGAGCTGGCAATTTATAATGGACTCCATTATTTTGGAGAATAAGGAGGTTATGGCGATAGGCCTGTAGTTGGACAGATCTGAGCGGTCGCCTTTTTAGGGATTGGGTGGACCAAAGATGTCTTCCATGAATTCGCGACTACGCCTTGGGATTAAGAGTACAGGAAAAGACGCGTTAAAACCGGTGCCAACTACGGAGCAGACGTCTTGAGCACAATGGGAGGGATTCCATCAGGCTCACTCGACTTGCTGACGTTCAGGGAGAGGAGGGCTTTGTGTAAACCGCACTTCCGGCATGGAGCACTGATACCGCGGGATGGTCTGCGGTGTGTTCCCCCCGTCATCGAGTATCGAGTTGGACGCAAAGAGAGAGCCTAACAGATCGGCTTTCTCCTTTGCGGCATGAATCAGTGAATCGTCCTCTCTGTGCAGAGATGGAAGGGATGACTGACAGAAGTTCCCTTGGACAGCCTTAGCGAGAGACCAGAATGCACGGGTTTCCGAAGGAAGGCAGCTTCTCGCCAATTCTGCTGAGGTGGTCAGACCTTGCCTTGGTAATGAATCGTTGAAGGACCTGAAGGCGGTATCATACTTCTTATTAAGAGCGCTGGTGTTTACATCCCCAGACGTTGATGCATCAGCCCAGGCCCGGTAGCACTCCTGCTTATAGCGTGATGCTATTTTACAGGAGCGACCAAACTATGGCTCGCATCTGCCTCCGATGGGCACCACAGAGGATGGAATAAAAAGTTCCATACACTGAAGTACCAAATCAGCAACAGAATCAGCAACAACGTTGGGGTCGTCCGGCGAAAAACAAACCGGGCCAAGGGTAAAATGCAAAAAAGACCGTATCCTATTCCAAACGGTCGACCTATACTGCCAAACACGGCGGCAGCCTGCAGAATGCAACCGCGACGTTAATGTGACTGGCACCATACTCCGGACAAGACAATGGTCCGACAAGTCTAGAGAGGCGTCAACGGAAACCTGATATCCGTCCGGATGAGAGGTCAGCAGAAGGTCTAACAGGGAAGATGTATGATCTTCCATGTCTGGAATCCCCGTAGGCGAAGTAACCAGTTGTGTCAGACCATATGCCAAGGCAAAGATAAACGACAAAAAGACAAAATAAACGGATCTCCCCGCATGATCGGTTAAACGTAAACCGAGCCATTCGGCGTGGTGGGCGTTAAAATCGCCAAGGATCACGATCTCTGCGGATGGGATGTGCTGTAGCACGGGATCTGTAGCCATTTGGGCATGGTCGATGAGTCGGTCTGTTTCGGCTCTAATGCTATGGGACCTATAGAGGCACCCGTAGAGGCGGGAATGGTCATCGCTGTCTACGCGCAGCCATAGGATGGACAGGTCCATACCTTCAAGACTGCCGAGGCGTCGAAAACAGATGTCCTCTCTGACGTATAAGCAAACTCCAGCACAAAGGAGTGTTCTAATTTGTACCCCGGGTAGGAGAGATAAGAAGTATCAGCTGTATAGAGGACACCTGACTCTCGGTTAAAAAGGAGCAAGGCCGGCTTCGTCGTCTCCAGATAGTAGTGGATAGCGTCAAGGTTGGGATGAAGTCCCCTGATGTTGCAAAAATTCACGGATAGTGTGGCAGGGGTCAGGGGTGCTCCGCTTGCCCCGATCGGTTTTTGTCGCGAGTGGAGTTGCGCCTCCCCCCCACTCTCAAAATACGCGGGGCAGACTGAGCAACCACGCTCAAGAAGAGTAGGATAACTTAGTCGTGGATGCTCAGCGAGGGATTCTGCGTCACCAGTGGTGCTGGTACCCTCCTTGGGTGGGTTTTTAATCGATTCCGCTACCATGTTAAGGGAGGAGGAGAATTGGGCCTCCGGCCACTTGCACTTACCAAGCGAAACGCAGAGGTAAATCTCTACTTCACGCGGGTATTCTGTGATGTCGATACAACCCCCGTTCGAGCCGGCCCATCCGTGCGACAACGAAAGCTGCCGCGAGGCTCTACCACTGTCACAGGCTAGGGTGGATATGATTTGAACTTCGATAGGTTTTAACTAATTAATTTATTAAATTCAAAATTTTTGTTTATATTTTTTGTAAAATATCACTTCCATATACTTCTACTCCGTTCAAATGTTACATCTTATTTTTTTCCAGACGGTAAAAAAGGATCACCCGTATAAATATAAGTCTCTCTATTACAAAGTTTAAATATTTAATTTAAAAGAAAACTGTATAAAAAGGGCTATTATAATGTAAATGAATAAATACATAGTTATTTCTTAAATTTACGCGAACACTACACATTCAGTTTTTGAATATTAACTTTTGGTCCGATTTACGTACGAAGAAATTATCTGCAGCGTTGAGGATTGTCTGTTTAAAAATAATATTGGTAAGGAAGATTTAGAGGCTATACGTCAAGATATTTCGTCCTTGTTACGTCGTAGTTCAGTACCGAAACCAAACCTTCCTAAAGACGAATTTACAGCGTTGATTAACTTACGGAACAGACCAGAGCTAACGATTCTCCGCGCGGATAAAGGAAATGCTACGGAAATAATGGACACGTCAGAGTATAATTTTAAAATACTACAGCTTTTATCGGACGAAAGTACATACAAAAAGGTCAAAACAGACCCTACAACTAACACGCTTAAAGCAACTAGCGACTTAATAAAGAAATACTCCGAAAAATTAAATCTCGACGTGAATTCGCTAATACCATCATGTACCAAACCACTGAGGTTGTATGGGTTACCGAAGATACGCAAAACAAATGCTCCACTACGTCCTATAGTGAGCCAGATCGATTCACCAACTTATAAGCTTGCACAACACTTGGCAAAAGTACTGTCACCACTGAGAGGACATACCAGAGCACACACAAAGGTTTCATACCATTTTGTTAGTGAGATAAAAGACCTGCATCTCGCTGACAATGAAACTATGGTCAGTTTTGATGTTCAGTCACTATTCACATGCCTACCTATTGAAGACTGCATATCAATTGTAACTAGGAAGCTAGAATATAATAACATGCCTGCTGAATATGCAGTATTACTCAAACACTGCCTTACATCTGGCTATCTATTGTGAAGGAAGAGTTCTACAAGCAAGTGGATGGTGTGGCGATGGGCTCACCTGTATCTCCCATAGTCGCCGACATATTCATGGAGGACTTCGAGGAGAAAGCCCTTCTTACTGCTCCTGTAAATCCAAGATTCTACAAGCGGTACGTAGACGACACTTTCACAATTTTACCATCTGACAAAGTAACTGCATTTTTAAACCACCTTAACTCTATAAACTCTAAAATACAATTCACAATGGAGTTAGAGGCAAATAATTCTTTAGCTTTCTTAGATGTTTTAGTCATTCGAAATCCTAATAACACAATTGGTCACACTGTGTATAGGCAAAAGACCCATACCAACCGATATTTAAATGGTGAATCTCACCATCATCCTTCACAGTTAGCTACCGTGGGTAAATCTTTGTTTCAGAGAGCACGAGGGATCTGTGACAGAAAATGAACTTCAGCACGTTAAACAAGTATTGCAAGACAAAAGCTTCGGGTCCCGCGCCTACGTCACAGTGAACGAGTGAAGCCAGCCACAGTCGAGCGTGTACCTGCTGTGCTACCATATGTCAGAGGAGTCACAGACAAGGTTGGCTACATCTTGAAGCGAGCTTCCATTAAAACATACTACAAGCCACCGAAGAAGATTAGTCAATTTTTACCATCCGTCAAGTGTAATATCCCTCTACAAGATGCAGGAGTGTACAAGTTAGATTGTGAATGTGGTCTCTCTTACATGGGTCAAACAAAAAGATCCATAAAAACCCGCGTGAAAGAACATATAGCTGACGTGAAGCACCGACGCTCCGGGAAGTCTGCAGTCTGCGAACATGTCCAAGATCGTCCCCACCATTACATTCGATTTGATAAACCACAAATTCTCGCAAAAGAACACCGATTCCTACCAAGGATGATACGCGAGACTATTGAAATTAAAAAACATCCAAATTTCGATAGAGAAGATGGATGGGTGCTGCCACCTGCTTGGGATCCTATAATTAACAAAATTAAACCTAAGCATACCGCTGCAAGACTTCATGATACTATAAGTTCGTTTTGCGTAAATGGGAACAAAAATTAATATTCAAAAACTGAAAGTAGCCGGACTAATTATGACATTGGGACGTCAAACATCTCAGTCCCCCCATGACCATGGGTTCTGTAAAGCACCCGAAACGTCGGGAATTAAAAATAAGTAAAAGTAATGAAATAAACGCGATAAAATCCGTAAATTTAGTTTTATTCAAATACATAGTTGATAAATAACCCCTGGGAATGAGGTGGTCGATTCCAAGTTGTTTCTAAAATTAATCTTGTAAATAGTTTGTAACTATTCATATTGTAAAATGTATTTAAAAAATGTTTCGCTGGGTTTTTTGCTGGTTCTTACCAGGACTGAGGTTTTTTTTACCCAGTAGTAAAGTTAAAAATTACTTTCAATAAGAATTACATGTGATCTATATTGAATAAAAAATTATTCCATTTTATCTTTTACCTGTACACCACCTAAAGTTATATGAATATTATTCTAATTACAGGAGGCTACGCTTCATGGCTCGGCTCGATAGAAACTCTCGAAGGCAGCGAGCTGGCGCGCGAATGTATAACCGCAGCAGGCTCAGCGCTCCAGCGCTGTCCAGCACCCGCCGCGCTGGCTTTACGTAAACTTTGTACAGAATGCAGCTCTCAAGCCGCCTTGTTGGCTGGTGACATAGTAAACGCCGCACAGGTTAGTGACACGTAATTTATGGTATTAAGTAAAATATTTCTCATGAGTCGAAATATTCAATATACTCTTGTTAAATAGGGTATTACACCCATTTTCAAAAATATCCAATAGTGCCATAAAAATTACTTTTAATCTATCGTTTTAAATTTTCGCGCGAAAACGCTAGTCGCCATGATTTTCAACTCGTGACGTCACTGTCCTTGATTTTTCCAAGGAATAAGAATGATACTTTTTAATGATTAATAATGAGTTATCATCTAAATCATTGTTGTGTTGTGCCTGAATGCAAAAATAGGAGCATAAGAACGCCGGGAAAGTTAGGGATTCAAGTGCCAAGTATTTAAATATAAGAAATACTTGGTTAATAATCATACTTACATCAAAATTATCGTCACAGAAGTTGCCAGATAACTTCTGTGACGATCATTTTGATGTAAGTATGACTTTTAACTATCGCTTAACACGAAACAAAACATCATGATGTGAAGGGTATCGCAAGTCAAATTTTGTAATGACCTGTTATTATTTTTGTATAAACAAAAGTTGGTAATAGTACTTACATTGATGTAAGTAAATATTGCCTACTTTTGTTAATAAACATTCCTCAACTCAGCGGAACAAAAATTGGGATTGCATGCAAAAGTTTTGCCACCATCTATTTATTTATCCTTGGTAGATTAGTACCTACTTTCTGCTTTCACGAATTCATCTTCCATGATGCCTTTTCAACAACATTCGGAATAAAACTCAATAATCGTAATGATAACTTGAAATAACACAGCACATTAGCTAATTCTCTTAATCAGTGACACAGAACACTATCACCCTTAGGCGGGATCAGTGACGTCACAGCATGTTCTAATATGGCGGACAGGGCTTTGAAAATTTCAGGCACAGACGAAAAAAAAATTCTTAAAATTGAAATATAAAATTTATAATACAATTTTAGAAACAGAAATCAATATTTCTCGATAAAAAAATATAATCATAAATAAAGTATATTTTTGATTTTATTTTACGCGATGTAAAATACCCTGTTATGTTGGCCCAGGATCGTGTTTTGTGGCAATTCTTGGGCGAGGCCTATGTACTCAATTTTTTGTTTGTTCTTGTCCGTATGTTCCTTTTGTCCTATCTGATCCACACACCCCATCACCTTGCCGAATCCAGCTTGTACATTCCATTTTTTTTACCAGTTACTTGTTTCGATTTTATTGGGTTATGAAACTCTTTCAGTCGACATCTTAGCATACAGTTTCCAAAAAATGTTAAGCAGCCTGATTCCATGTTACAATAGATAAGCGATATAATATTTGTTATATTGTATAGCAGAGCGCGGAGGGTCGATCGGAGGCGTTCGTGCGGCGGCAGCTGGCGGGCGCGGCGGGCGCGGCGCTGGGTGCCGCCGAGCCGGCCGCCGCCGCGCCGCTGCTGCACGCGCTGGCGCACTCGCTGCTGGCGGAGCTGCACGCACAGGTACCTGCAGCTGTAATAAGGTGGCCTTGCCAGGCGACCACACGCTCCACTTATTGAACATTCATTGTTCACTTATTAAATTTTTTTTGATCCGGAACCTCCAAGAATACCTCTGTCCTGGGAATATTTAACAAGAAAACAAGCGAGTTTATTTTTTAGACATATAATTTTCTACAATAAGTAGCAGTCTACTTATTCCCAGAAGTTATTTACAAATTTTTTATAGACCAATGCTTAAATATCTAAAAGACAAACAAGCACACAGTCTACCTAATTGTGAGTGGATATTGTAGCGTAGTATGTGCATGTAACTTTTTTCCCTAAAAATCAAAATGCAGATGCGAGGATCAACATGGAATGCCTTGTTTTCGGTAACAAGGGTCTTCGGTTCTCTACACTCACCATACGAAAAAGCAGCATTGAGCGTCGCTGGTATTTTGTGAGAGTGTTGTGCTTCCCCAATTTTGTGGACCCATTCGTGTTACAACTATAATATAGTTGCAGCGTGGCTATGTAACATCAAAAATGTTATAAATTCTCTGCAACTTCTCTTATTTTTTCTTACATTTAGTTAATAAATAAATATTTTATAATAATTGCTAGCGATCGAAATGTCGACAACAGCTCAACTTAAAGAATCCAATTGTGAATCTAAACCATTCTCAAATCTACTTATGTACATTTGCTACCAGTTTATTAGGAGGAAATCAGTCACATACATACAGACAGAAGAATTTTATATATATATATATACACACAGGGTGTTAGTGTAAACGACGTTATCCTTGAAACCAGTGGTTTGGTTTCACTTATAGAACGTAAATTCAATGAAAAATAACAACATTTTTTTTAAAGTCAACACTCAATTTTTCCTTACAATTATTTCACCCTAGGCAAGAAGGGATATACAGAATTCACAACAAAAAAAAACTCAACATATCGTAGCGGCAGCGATTCGCGGTCAAGGCCAATGTCATTGTGTCAGTGTGTTAGTCTGTATCAGTCTGTCAGTCGTGTAAATTTGATTTACAAGCGCGCCGCGCGCCGTGCCGACATTCTACGTCGCTTATTTGCGTTTTAGGTACCTAGTTGTAGCTTTTGTGCAAGTGTGTTTTAGTTTGTAATTATCTCCTACACAAAACGTGCAGTGGAAATGTGCCTCTTCGTTCACTGAGAAACCTCTACTACCAACATGACGGTGCCCCTGCACATTTTCAGCTGCAAATCAGGGCTATGCTGGTTGAGGAGTTTCCTGGGCGATGGATAGGACGTGGAGGGCCAGTGGCGTGGCCAGCGCGTTCGCCCGACCTTACCCCGCTGGACTTTTATCTTTGGGGAGAAGTGAAGCGCCGAGTGTATGCAACTAAGTTCCGTAATACGTCCGAACTCAAAAGGCGAATTCTTAGTGTGTTTAGAGAAATGACACTGTTGTGCTTCTAGCTTTTACGATTAATGTAAAAGCTGATCAAAATGGGATCCATTTACGAGGATTTTATTTAATAGGTAAGTGTAAATAATCAATCAATCAGGCTGCACATCAAGCTATAAAAAACCAGTTTGTCTTGGCCTCGCTTTGTATGATCTTTCCGTACAATGAACGGTCAGCTTATGCTTCAAATGCCCTTTGCGTTCCGGGGCCGCGGTATTCTGCTAAGAGAGTCCCGGGACCCCGGTTCCTTGATTGGACGGCGAGCTACCCATTGGTTTTGCATAACTTAATGTGTAGCCGTGTGTGCATAACATTATGATTAACCTTTTAAATACGCCAAAAATCCTACCTAATGACCTAATTCTTTGTTGTTAAATCAACGGGTTAAAACAAAGGGTAGGAATTTTATCTGTCCTAAGCCAGTGTGAAAGTATGAAGGAAAAGTTACATCATAGGTTATGAGTACCATTGTGTTTTTATTGAAATGTTGTGTAGTAGCAAGGGCGGGCGGTGATCTTTACAGTGATTACGTCACTCGAGCGCATAGGGTATCCATGAATTTACGGATGGTGTCGGACAGAAACTTTTTTAATTTTATGAAAGAAAATAGCGTTTTTTTTAAAAATCGGATAAATATTTTTATATTAAAGCCAACAACCTATGGTTTCAGTGACAACGGTGTTTACACTTACACACTGTATATATACATATATAGCAGGTACATGGTATTTCAATAGTTTAGGAAATATGTTGATACCCCGCCTGTGCGCGCGTCATTTTCACTCCAATTTCATTGTATTCATAAGTATTTTTAGTACAATAAACGCTCTACGGAATCGGACACAGTTCTATTTACCATATCCCGTGACGTAGATACAATCTAGAGCGTCACAATACACAAAACCCTTTTACAAAGCTGCTATTTTAAGCTAGTATTCCGTGAGAGCGTGGTACTTCCCTGGTATCCGTTGTGCAGATTCGGCATACGTGCAGCGTGTAGCATGTTGAGTGTCGGCAGGCCGCGGAGCCGCTGGGCGCCGGCTGTGGCGCAGAGTGCTGCGGCGCGCTGCTGGGCGCGCTGGTGGCGGCGCCGGCGCTCGCAGAACACCTGTTCCACGCGCTGCTGCCCGCGCTCAAGCTGTTCCCGCACCACGCGCCCTTACTGCAGGTAACCTTCTCACTTTCCATGCTCCAAACGTACATTTCGAAACACGACATCTGTCCCATGTTAATTACTTCATTTTTAATTATTATTAATCTTTTTAAAAATAATACGATACTTCACGCCGAGACAACTGATTACTTTATATAAAGCACAAGTCTGGTGGTGCAAAATGCCAACCAGCAGCTTTGAAATCCGTGGAAAGGTGTGCTAGGAGGCTTATTGGTGACCTCAATCTGGTTAAAACTAATCTCACCAGTCTCTAACACAAGCGCAAAGTATTTCCGAGAGTGTGCGCAGGAATTAGATAACTTGATTCCATCCTCTCTACCACCATCGAATAACCAGACGCTTGTTCAGTGTCCACCCTTTCGTTGTCGACTTACCACGCATTCGAACCATAGGTTTGCGTCATGAACGATGACGCAAACCCATGCGCACAACAAAGAAGTGGAATAAGTGGCCAGCATGTGTCTTTCCATTTCCTATCTAATTACAATGCGGACGTCTTCAAGACAAAAGTGATTCAGGCTTTTGTTAAATCAGTGCGCTTATCCATCTTCGACGGTCACCACTTACTGTTAAATGGGATAGCAGTCATGCTTTAGCTTAGAATAGCATTTAAAAAAAATCTAAATGCCTTTTTAAAATATATATCAACCACTAACTCGTCCATCTCGGACATCAATTTTGTATAAGATGATTCTTCTTGTTGCAGCCCCTGTACCACATTCTAAAGCAGGCGCTCTCTACGCTACTTAACAACTACATGCCAGTTATTGCAGAAATCGCTGAACTCGTCGTAGCCGGCTTCGAGACTCAACCCTGCGCCTCAGGATTTGACGTCCTTAAACTAGTCAGTGTTTGGTACCTTCGATGTATAATTAGCGGTAACTACCGGATGTTGTCATATTTCGTAAATAATATTTTTAATATTTTCTGATGATGTAAATTTAAAAACCGTGCAATTCCCTGATACATTATCAAAAAAAGAATGATTTAAAATATATATATAAATAAAGATACAGCTCACACATTTTAATAATGCTTTCAAATATAATTTATAAATAAATATGTATTCATATTCAATGCTTTAGTAAATGTCAGATAGGCTATATAGCTAATCAGTGTTTAATAAGTTAACAAAGCTATTTTCATTGGGACATTGTGAGACAGGTCCTGTTTTACCTGGGAGTGTCTCTGTGTTGGCAACACTCTCTCACTTGTTTCTCATACAGCACTGATGCTTAGTTCCCAAACTTTGCGTTTCGGTTCGACAGTCTGATATAATTAGAGACTTTTTAGTGTTTCATCGAAGACCTCAAGAGTATGAGAATACATCTATAATAATTGCCTTCGCACAAAGAACATGTCAGACGTCTCGAATCTTTACTGCTGCTGCCCGTCGTCAATCTGAATGTTGGATATTTTAAACCATTTATAATTTTTAGAGGCATTTTTTTAATAGGATAGGGTGACAAACGAGCACACAGTCCACCTGATGGTAAGTAGTTGCTGCGGCCCATAGACATCTACATCTATCCTCGATTACGAATCAAAATGCAGATGCGTTGTCACCCGTGAGGACTGAGATGGAATGCCTCGTTTCCAGTAAAAAGGGTCTCCCGTCTCTACACTCACCATACGAAACACAGCAATGTTAAGCTACTATTTCACGCTCGTATTCTGTGAGAGCGTGGTCCTTCCCCGGTCGAGCCGACCCATTTGTGCTACAACTATACTACTAATATAACTGCAGCATGGCTCTACCATACAAAAATCCTTTATATCCCTTTATCTTACACCTTCAGCTTTATACGTCCCACGGTTGGGTAATGGCCTCCCTTCACATCTGAGAGGCTTTAAGAACAAGGAAACGTCTGCCGCGATGCCTATATATTTTAGACTTCAGTTCTTGTCTTCGATACGCAGGTCTCCACATAATGTTTTTCTTCATCGCCGAGCATGAGGTAAATCGGCACTTAAAATTGCAATTATCAATTTCACTGGTGTCTACAGTGTATTTTATTTTAGTGTACTTATGCTCGAGAGTCAAAAATTACTATCGAGTACCGTTAGAACGGAAAGTAAACAGAGGAAAGTTGTTCTCTGTAATGCAAGATAATAATTAATGTGTCTTAAGCGAAGCAGGAGAGTAAAGCTTAAAAGATTAATATATTTCCTTTTAAAACAATAAAGTAGACAGAACGTGTGTGTATATTTCAAGTGATGTCGAAACTATGCTGAACTTTTTAACAAGCACTTGCGTGCAGTGCGTGCTCTTATATTGAATATAGTTTAGGCTTTCTTGGTTCACTTGAAATCTATTCAACGCTCTGTGGTTCTTTGTTTATTTATGATTTATTTAATTATTTAGGCACTAACAGGGTATAAGCTTTACAAATTGTAATAAAAACACTTGAACGAAACATGGAAACAAGCTTTATCTTAATATAGCTATAGTCAACCAAATCTAAGAAATACCTTTTGACGTTTCACATTAACCATTCCGCAATAACTGCACAAGCGTACTTACACGATACGTCGACCTTTTACGTAAATCCGAAGAATTATGAAGTTATCTATATTTCATTACAATGTGTATAGTTTTTTTATTACTAATTTAAATTAGAATCTTTCAAAAAAAGCAAAATATTAAAAAATAAACAGAATCAACTTTTTTATTTGACGTCGTTTCAATGATATGTCGCTATGTACCTTACCGTAGTGTTTGGATGATTAAAATTAGTTGTTATGCGAATAATCGACAAAAATATTCAAATAATCGGTAAAAGTATTCAAATAATCGAATCATTAATTTATTTAATGTATTATTTGTTTAATTAAATTTTTGTTTTTAAAATTCCTTAAATTATATGAATCATGAATAAAACAACTTATTTTACTTTGTCAACGTAATTTTGTGTGGGCAAAAAAACTCATACAAGATCGCGCTGAAAAAACTAATACGTAATTTCAATCTTCCGCCGTTTCGGGAGCATACTGTGCGTAATTTTGTGATTTTGTGTTTGTCTTCTTATGACTTGGCTTTAACTTTTAAAACTCTTTCTTTTATATTCGTTGAAGCGTGTACTCGTGTCACAAAGGATGATTGGACAAAAGTGGTAGAAAAAACAAAAATGTTGATTATGGATGACTTTGAAAGAGACATTAATTTTGACTACATTATTTAAATTCAAATAGTAATTAATGTAAACAACGATAGCTCAACTAGTTGTACTGAAAGTGATTGAACAAATTTATTTTTAATTTGCTGTGTTTCGTATGGTGAGTGTAGAGACGGGAGACCCTTTTTACTGAAAGCGAGGCATTCCATCTTAGTTTTTATGGGTGACAACGCATCTACATTTTGATTCGTAATCGAGGATAGATGTAGATGTCTATAGGCCACAGCAACCACTTACCATCACGTGGTGCTCGCTTGTCACCCTTTTAGTATAAAAAAACCTAAATTTTTTATAACTGTGCCTCTAAAAATAAGCAGCAACAACGTTAAATTATTCGTTTTTAACTTATTCTGGTATTATTCAAACCAAACTGTAAGTGATTACTAATTCTAAATAATCTGTATCGATTTTTTCAAGAATCGAATATTGTACAATCCCATTTTTTTGGTTGGCATGCTTGGTGCAATAAGTCTGACAGCTGTCAAAATGTATTTCTTAGATTTGGTTGACTATAGGTAAAAACAGCAGGAAGTAGACAACCAACACACAAAAAAAGCTGAACAAAAAGAAGGAAAATTGTGAGTAAATGGTACTAAACAGACCAACTAGATTGTCTTCGATAGTGAATAATTGTGAGTTAATTAAATATGAATATTATATTTTTAATTTAATTATTATGTATGTTTTGTATTGTTGGTGTAAGCATCTACGGTGTTAGTATACGAGGTGTACATATTAAACGCAAGCACTCTCGTGGGGTTGCTCAGACCATCAAATTGAACAACTTTCACTATGGGACCAACTTCGAAATTCGAAAAAAATTCAGCTGTTTCCTTATATTCGTGTGAAACGGCCGTTGCCTTTTTGTATGAAACAGCTGATTTTTATTTCGTATTTTAAAGTTGGTCCCATAGTGAAAGTTGTTCAATTTGATGGTGTAAGTAATCCCACGAGAGGGCTCGCATTTATTATGTGACACTTGTATATAAGTAACGGTCGCAGCTGATGGTGGTGTGGGGCGCGGAGGCGGGGGGCACGGGGGCCGGCACGGCGCTGCACGTGTGCGTGTCGGCGGGCGCGCGCGTTGTGGCGGCCGACGTACGCGCGCAGCCCGACCTCACTGCCGCGCTCTTCGCGCTGCTGCTCGCGCTCACCAAGAAGACGCCGCACTGCCTCGACTGGATCGCCGATCTGCTCCCGCAGCTTATTGAACTGGGTCACTGAACACTCATATTTTTCACCCACTTAATAAACTGTTCATTTTGACGATGTTTGTAGCTATAAGTGGTAAAACAAAAATTTTTTTTACAACCGACTTCAATATAAATAAAATAGTTAATTGTTGATTTTTTAAAAATCGCGCGATCGATTTCGACAAAATTTAAATGGGACCTCCTGGATACCCTTTGAAACGAAAAAAAATCATCTAAATCGGTTCAGGCGTCTTCGAGTAATAGGTAAACATACGAGGGGAGCTCAAAAACTTCAAGGGAAGGATAATGGAATGAAACATCAAACTATTTTTCCTTTTCAATGTATTCTCCCTTAACCCATACATTTATTAATCTGTCAAAAAAAAAAAAAAGATTTGTCTTGGGCGTCAAAATAGGCCGAAATTGCCGACTTCACTTCATCATCGTCGCCAAATTTTCCCACGCAGTTCTGTCTTCATTTTTGGAAGCAAGTAATAGTCGCTTGGGGCTAGGTCTGGGCTATAGGGTGACGCAGTTGTTCAAAACCGCATCGGTGAATGGCAGCCATCACGACATGACTTACATGCATGGGCGTATTGTCGTGCAAGTAAGCTTTCTTCTCCTTTTTTCTCTAATATTTTCTTTTAATTGACCTAGTAAAGAAGCGTAGTATTCTCCCGTTATGGAAACTACGTTCCTTATAATCAATCAAAAGGATACCTTCTGTATCCCAAAAGATCGTCGCCATGATCTTCCTGGCCGATTGAAATACGTTATACTTCTTAGGAAACGTTGTGCCTTTTTATGCCACTGCATCGACTCCTGCTTTGATTCAGGTTCATAATGGTGAACCCAAGCTTCATTGCCAGTTACAATTCGGGCCGTAACTTCCTCCCATTGCTCTCCACAGCGGTCCAAAAATTCGCGACAACTTTTGACGCGCTCGTATTTTTCTTGCACAGAATGCATTACCGGAACCCATCTTGCCTTTTATACCCACTGGATAGCTCTTTTTTAAAGATGCATTATTTAAATTACAAATAACTACAATATTTTATTTTTATTGCAGCATGTTCGTGTGTACGTCTTTGGGAGGCGTCATCGGCGCGGGCGGCCTGTGCTTGGCTCGCTGCACTGGCGGCTCGCCGCGCTACAGCGCTGCAGCCGCACGCCGCAGCGCTTACAACCGCTACACTGCGCTGCATCGGTGAGTAGTGTGTTAGACACATATGAGTGCTGCAGCTGCACGCCGCAGCGCTTACAGCCGCTACACTGCGCTGCATCGGTGGGTAGTGTGTTAGATACATATGGGTGCTGCAGTTGAACGTCGCAGCGCTTACAGCCGTTACACTGCGCAGCATCGGTGGGTAGTGTGTTAGACACATATGAGTGCTGCAGCTGCACGCCGCAGCGCTTACAGCCGCTACACTGCGCTGCATCGGTGGGTAGTGTGTTAGACACATATGGGTGCTGCAGTTGAACGTCGCAGCGCTTACAGCCGTTACACTGCGCTGCATCGGTGAGTAGTGTGTTAGACACATATGAGTGCTGCAGCTGCACGCCGCAGCGCTTACAGCCGCTACACTGCGCTGCATCGGTGAGTAGTGTGTTAGACACATATGAGTGCTGCAGCTACACGCCGCAGCGCTTACAACCGCTACACTGCGCTGCATCGGTGGGTAGTGTGTTAGACACATATGGGTGCTGCAGTTGAACGTCGCAGCGCTTACAGCCGTTACACTGCGCTGCATCGGTGGGTAGTGTGTTAGACACATATGAGTGCTGCAGCTGCACGCCGCAGCGCTTACAACCGCTACACTGCGCTGCATCGGTGAGTAGTGTGTTAGACACATATGAGTGCTGCAGCTGCACGCCGCAGCGCTTACAGCCGCTACACTGCGCTGCATCGGTGAGTAGTGTGTTAGACACATATGAGTGCTGCAGTTGAACGTCGCAGCGCTTACAGCCGCTACACTCTGCTGCATCGGTAAGTAGTGTGTTAGACACATATGAGTGCTGCAGCTATACGCCGCAGCGCTTACAACCGCTACACTGCGCTGCATCGGTGAGTAGTGTGTTAGACACATATGAGTGCTGCAGCTGCACGTCGCAGCGCTTACAGCCGTTACACTGCGCAGCATCGGTGGGTAGTGTGTTAGACACATATGAGTGCTGCAGTTGAACGTCGCAGCGCTTACAGCCGTTACACTGCGCAGCATCGGTGGGTAGTGTGTTAGACACATATGAGTGCTGCAGTTGAACGTCGCAGCGCTTATAGCCGCTACACTGTGCTGCATCGGTAAGTAGTATGTTAGACACATATGAGTGCTGCAGTTGATCTTTGCAGCGCTTACAGCCGCTACACTGCGCTGCATCGGTGGGTAGTGTGTTAGACACATATGAGTGCTGCAGCTGCACGCCGCAGCGCTTACAGCCGCTACACTGCGCTGCATCGGTGAGTAGTGTGTTAGACACATATGAGTGCTGCAGTTGAACGTTGCAGCGCTTACAGCCGCTACACCATAGATAAATAAATATGTAGCAAGCTACAGATACGACAGCGACTTTTAGTCAAGTTTCTCAACTACGCCTTTTGGCGCTGCAGTCGCCCAATTTGACAGATGAGTAATGACGTCATGACTATACAATTTAGTATAGCTTAGGGATTGCAAGCACACAGCCTTCTAATTATCGATATCGATGTTTAGTGGTGTTCTTATTTTGTCGATATCGACATAAGTGCATTATACAGGAATAATAATACTTAATGAAACAATTATAATACATCTAACTTATTTATTTTTTATTCAAGCACACCAACATCATATACATACAAACGTAATCTTAGGATTAAATTAAAGGCACATTAAGTCATATATACAAATTAGAAAATTGTACATAACATTTTACATAAATAAGTACAATTTGACGAAACAGAGCAATATTTACAGTTCATTAAATAAAGCAAATTAAACCACAGGAATCATATTTAAGTGCTTAATATTTTACTTTCAAGTCATTTTTTATTAGAAGCAATGCTATTTATTTTTCATTAGGGGTAAACCTGGGAATTCTTTTACAAAGATTAAAAAACATCTTCTTCTTTAATTTCATTTTCTACACCACGTAACCTGAAAAGAAATAAATAAAAATAAAGTTCAATATTCATATTTTATGACTTAATGATAATCATAAATTGTATATTATTTATATTAAGGTAACAAAGGGTGGCATCATGGTAGTTGCCATTTTTTATTGGTCAACCCATGGTGTGGTGAAAATAAAGTGGTAGATGCAGTAAATAAGAAATAAAAAACATATAAAGATTAACACTGTATACATCCATTATCAGGAGATTTCTCAATGTCTTCAGGCACGGAGTTCCAAATAAGTGTAACCTTAATACTAAAGGAGTTGTTGATAAAACCATTGAAGTGTAGTGGAACTGTAATCTTTAGATTTGATGAAGAACAAAGAACTCTTACCGTGATTTGAGGATAATATGCTGAATATAGATATAATAGATATGTTGAAACTTACTTAATGTCTAAGAATAAACTGAATTTATCATACCTTTTTGCCAATGTGTACATTTTGTATCTTCTGTCAACATTTGTCTCACCACATCAGCATTAGATTTCTGTTTCTGAAAACCAACAATATTTGTGAATTTTGTTCTTATACATAAACCCAAAATTAAAGAATAAATATATAATGTATACTTCTGTATTGTATGTATTAATGCTGTATGGCTACTGTTAACGACAGTTTAGTATAATCATAATTCAAAAGTGATCTATATTATCATATAACTTAATTTTTAGAATTTTATTTCACCACCGTCATCATTACAGCGCTTCACAAGTCCACTGCTGAACGTAGGCTTCCCCCAAGAAATGCCACAAATCACGGTCCTAAGCCACCAGCATATACATGTCGTCACTTCATCAACATTTTATTTACTTAAACATGTTTTTCTTAACCTAAAACTTTTATACTTCTTTAAGGCCAATTTTTGGGGTTCACCCATTTTAGATACATATTTTTCATCGATATCACCCTTCAATATTTTATTATTTATGTTGCACCAATTGTGTCCATGTAATCTAATTAAAATATTGACGAAAAAGTTTTTGACAATTAAGGCATGCTTATCACACCCTAGGCAGGACAAACTTAAAGTGCTCAATAAATTTCTTTTCAAATTACTTTTTATATTACTTCCAATACAGCTATAATTCAAATAGTTATGAATAAAGTGAGTGCCATCCCTGTACAAGATAAGGAATTTTTCGTTAGGGTATGCCAAATTATTATTTTTTAACAATTTATACTCTCTAAATTTAATGTAAGAGTTAATGTTTGTCTCCGTACTGCTAATATATGTTTTGATGCAATCCTTACAACGAATCGCTTTCGTTATTTTCCGACAAATGTATCCAGCAGTATAAGCTGAGCAGTGGACTTTAATTTTTTCCATGACTACATCATTTACTAGCAATTTTTCTCCTGAACTTGCTTGTGAAGAAGATGGGAGATCTCGCAAAACACTGGTAGTGTTTTTCGAGTCATTTTCTTTATTATTATGAAGGTTTTTAAAAAGAACACTAACATTTAATAATGTTTCTCCATTATCCTCTTCACAATTAGAGAATTTGGAATGTGGACTAAGCATGTTAGATAATATCAAAGATTTAAAGGCATATATAAATGTGTTTGCATCTGGGTTAACATTTCTATAATTTACAGCTCTTATACGTCCAAAAAAATTCTCTAATGGGTCTTGATTAATATTCCTCGGATAATAATATAAATTATTAAAAAATATGCTTAAATCGTGATCAGCAATATTAACTGATCCATCTGTAAAATAATTAAAATAAATAATATTTGTCATGAAGTAGAACTGGTTTTTAAGTAATTAAGAATGGTACACACCATCATGAACACCTTGAATATTCCGCCTACGAATTGTATCTTCCCTAAGTCTTCTTATTGCTGTTCGAAATGTGGACCCTTGATCACAAACAAGACCTAAAGGTATTAACCCAGTTTGTATTACTTGGGGCACAATCTGCTTTAAATTGCATTGCAGCTCTGCTGCTGATACTGTGCCTTCACAGAAATAAAATGCTACACTCTGTCTCCATGGAGAGCATATTCCTCTTAGCATAAAAACTAAAGCATGATCACAATATTTTAGTTTTCTCTCTCCAGCTATATCTACAAACCCATTAATTATATCATCTTTCTCATTAAAAGTTAAATGTGGTGTCAGAGAGACTTCATCAAAAACTATTGTGCATAGCTTTTGTTTAGTGTCCCATTTTTTTGTTGTATTTGATATATGTTCAAATATTAATGGATTGAGTCCTGCTTGTATTGAAACCTTCTCAGAAAGTCTATTTAATGTCCGTTTACTAGGCAAGGCAAACATTCTTTCTAATAGTTTATAACTTTTGGGGCTTTGTTTCATTATGAGCAATGCCATTAATTTTTCATCTAAGGTAAACCTTCTGGCCATTTTGCTTTTATGAATTTGTTTTAATTGCATAAACAAGAAAGTCTGAGCTTGTTTGTTTAACAAATAAAAGTTTTCCAAAAGGTCTTTATTTCTTGACAGGGATTGGGCTTGATCAAGTCGTTGTGATACTGAGTCACTTAAACTTTCAGTTGCAATATTAGTCAAAAATTTAACCAATTTTCTTTTCCTTGATACTATTTTCTTCGCCATGTAACCTGAAGTGAAATAAATAAAATAATTAAATTCTATATTCATATTTTATGACTGTATGATACACTTAAAATTATTAATTTTTTTATTTATACATTTTTATTTTAATCTTTTAATGTATTCACTTTGATAAGATAACAAATAAAGTGGATGTCATCAGAGGAAGAGTTCCAGAAAAATGTAACCTTAACAGTAAAGGACTTGTTGATAAAACCATTGAAGTGTAGTGGAACTGTAATATTGGGATTAGGTGAAGAACAAAAAACTCTTATTGTGATTTGAGGTAGATATTGAAACTTTTTCTAATTATGTCTAAGAATAAACTGAATTTATCATACCTGTTTGCTTTTTTGTACATGTGCTACCTTTTGGCATCATTTGTTTCACCACATTAGCATTAGAATCAATTCCTGAAAAGAAGCAATAGTTATGAATGTTATGGTCTTAAACATAAATTAAATTTACAATGTATGCTTCTCTGTATTGTATGTCTAAATTAAATACACATAACCATCCTCTAGAACTGATGCAGTTCCAGGTATGCAGTGACACCTCCAGTTCACAGCCTGTTTTTAAGCATTTAAAGTATTTTTTCTATTACCTCATATATAAGTACTTCTTTTAATTTGATCTCTCCATAAATGTATAAAAAATTATGTCCAATACAATTTCCCATACCTTTATTTTCAACAACTGTTGCAACAGTTGAAAAATTTGAACATGAAGGCTGTTCATGAGAATTTCCAACATCTGAAATTTGTTACAAGATTGCATTTTTATAGATGTCAGTATGATTAGGCAAACACATTATTAGAAAATGAATGGTTAGTAAATTTATGAAATAGTTAGAAAGCTTTTTTGCTACTTAGTAACTAGTGCTACATGAATATTAGTACACACCTGACGATCCAATCTCTACCGATGATTTGGAACAATCATTTTGCTCTTTGTAGTAATTGTGTTCAATCGTAACATCACTTCCTGAAAACATTATTCAAAATGTTGAAAAATTTGCCACTGACTGTAATTTAAATAAAATATTTTTAGAAATCAGTGTTCATCATAATATTGTTACGAGCTTGAGGTTCGTGACAATAAAAATTGCCGATAAAATTACCTAAATTAACACTTTAATTTACTTTAAACAAATTAAAACTTAAAACACTAATAATTAAACACACTAATTCACTTAATTTCGCTCCGAAGCTTCGCTCGTATCGCCAATTCAATACTGCCTCCATCGCATCTTGCAGCGCCTATATATTTAAATTAGCAAAGAAATATCCAGAATGTTCAAGTAAACACGCGGAAGGTACCGAGCGTTCGAGTTTCGACTAGGCGCTGTCAGTTGAGCGATTTGTGATGTCATTTTCTCAATGCTCCCCTCGCTCTCGTTCCTGACACTAGATGGCGCTAGTTGACTTATTCATGCAACACTGCCCCCTCCTAAGACATGCTCGTCCCGAGCATTATCGGTCCCATAATAACGCGCCAAGCGATCCACATGGACGATCTTAGGAGTCCCTCTTGCGCCTTTCTGTATCCGGTAGGTCACATCGTTGATCCTGGTTACAATCCGGTACGGGCCGTCCCATTTAGCTTGAAGCTTAGGAGATTTCCCTTTGCTGCGGACTGGATTGTGCAACCACACAAGTGAACCTTCGTCGAACCTTTTGTTGTTCATTTTGCGGTCATACCGGGTTTTCATCTTTTCAGACATTTGCTGGCCCGATTGTCTGACGTGCTCATAAACGTCATTCATTTTTTTCCGCAAGTCATTTGCATAATCGGTTATACTGCGTGGAGCATCGGGTGGTATCCCGGTGATCAGGTCTGCAGGCAGCCGTAATTCTCTTCCAAAGTTTGCGAAAGCTGGTGTCACTGCTGTACTTTCGTGAACAGAACTTCGATATGACAACAAAAACGGTTGTATGTGCTTGTCCCAATCTCGTTGCCGATTGTCTACAACTTTTGCTAGGTACCTCTCCAATGTCTGATTAAATCGTTCCACCATTCCATCAGATTGCGGGTGATAAGAAGTCGTTCTTGTTTTATGAGTACCCATAACTCGGCAAGTTTCCTGGAATATTTGAGACTCAAAATTCCTTCCTTGATCGCTGTGAATCTCTAAAGGTACTCCAAAACGACAGAAGACTTCATGAACTAGTTTATCTGCAACTGTTGCAGCTTCTTGATTTGGAATGGCGAAGACTTCTGGCCACTTAGTGAAGTAATCCATCACAACCATGAAATACTTGTTACCGCTTTCACTCTCCGGAAACGGCCCCGCCACGTCAATGGCTATTCTCTCCCATGGTGCACCAACATTGTACAACTTCAATGCACCTCTACTACGAGTCTGAGGTCCCTTTACAGCCGCACAACTTGTACATTTGCGACACCAGTCCTCGACATCGTTTCGACAGTGGACCCAGTAAAACCGTTTTCGGATCTTCAGTAGAGTTCGTTTAACTCCCAGATGGCCTCCTGAACAATCATTATGGTACAGCTGTAGAACATCCGGTACTTTAACTTTAGGGACAACCATTTGCAAATGACAGCTGTCTCCCCGAACGTTTTCCCATTTACGACACAGAACTCCATCCTGAAGCAGCAAGCTGTCCCACTGGGCCCAATAGCTTTTAGTGGTCGAACTCATCGCTGAGACGTCACTCCACTTGGGCTTGGGAGCACTGGCCTTTATCCATTCCAGAATCGGCTTGATGTCCGGATCTTCCTGCTGTGCATGTAGTAAGCTGTCCTTCCACTCGTTGCTGAGGTGGTCTGCCCTGAGCATCCTCACGGATACCACTTCCTTACTCTCTTGCCTAGTACAATGTTTGCAATCTTCAGGACAAGGTCTTCTTGACAATGCATCTGCGTTGCCATGAGATTTCCCGCTGCGATGTTCGATCTCAAAGTCGTATTCCTGCAGTAGTTCAATCCACCTCGCAACTTGTCCTTCTGGGTTTTTAAACTGCAATAGCCATTTTAGTGCAGCATGGTCAGTTCGTAAGTGAAATTTTCGTCCCAGAAGATATTTGCTAAAATGTTGCAACGACTTTACCACAGCTAGCAATTCGCGTCTTGTGACACAGTAGTTCCTTTCCGGTTTTGACAACGACTTGCTGAAGTACGCTATCACGACCTCTTGGTCACCATTACGTTGAGACAACACACCGCCAAGTCCTATATCACTTGCGTCTGTGTCAACTATAAATTCTTTGCTTGCATCAGGGTATCCCAAAATAGGTGTTTTGCACAGACGGTCCTTGAGCTCCTGGAATGCGATGTTACAACTTTCATCCCAGCAGAAATGTCGCTTCTCCTCGGTTAGCTTATGCAGAGGTTTGGCTATATCTGCAAAGTTCTTCACAAAACGTCGGTAATAGGAGCACAAACCCAAAAATGCTCTAACCTGCGTCTTGTCTTTTGGAACCGGCCAATCCTTTACAGCTGCGATTTTCTCTGGATCCGTGCGGATACCTTCTTCCGACACTACATACCCCAAAAAGTTGACTTGCCGTTTGAATAGTGAACATTTCTTCGGACTCAACTTAAGGTTGGCACCTTTAATCTTCATGAGCACGCGTTCCAGGTTTTGAAGGTGTTCCTCAAACGTACGGCCCACGATGATGATGTCATCCAAGTAGACCAGACAGGCATCGCCAATTAGCCCGGTAAGTACAAGTTCCATCAGCCTTTCAAACGTTGCTGGAGCATTGCACAACCCAAACGGCATTACTTTGAATTGCCACAGACCCTTTCCCGTCGAGAACGCAGTTTTCTCCTTGTCCTTAGGGTCAATTTCAACTTGCCAGTAGCCACTTTTTAGATCCAGCGTGCTAAACCATTTTACTCCTGTAAGCATGTCCAGCGTGTCATCAATTCTTGGCAAGGGATAGCTGTCCTTCTTTGTAACGTCGTTCAGACGGCGGTAATCAACACAGAACCGCATGCTGCCATCCTTCTTCTTTACCAGTACCACGGGTGAACACCATGGACTAGATGAAGGTTCAATAACACCATCCCTCACCATTCCCTCAATCATGGTTTCCATTTCCTTTTCACGTGCTACCGGCAATCGTCTTGGCCGCTGACGGATAGGCAACTCTTCACCTGTGTTTATTTTGTGTTGAACTAAACCAGTCTTTCCTATGTCAGCATCGTTTGATGAGAATACATCGGCGTACTCGAGTAACAACTTCTTCGCCTTCACCAATTCGTTCGGGGACAGAACACTGCGACAGTCTTCCAAAAGTGTGGAAGACTGTCTCGTTTCTGAATCCTTGCTGGGGGTCCCACTCGATATATATTGGCACTGACGTAACCAATCCACTTCCTCACAAGTACCAACCAGTGTACCTTTTTCTATAACCTGTTCCCGGTCGCAAAGGTTCAGCACACGTACTCCTGAGATGTCAGTGGTCCTGACCAGGGTTCGAGCTACTTTCCATGGAAGGTCATTGTTTACCCTTTCCACAAGTACACAACGGTGAGCTTGCCCAGCGTTTCGTGGAAGACTAACCGGAACAATCGTTTCCGATCTCGGCGGAAGAACAATCTTCTTGATGCTGTACACGTTCCCTGGTAACGCACCTTCCATAAAAAGTTCCTCCTGTCCACATTTCAAAACACCTTGCTTAACGTCGATCTCACAACAATTATTCCTCATAAAGTCTAGGCCTAGGATGCAGTCGTCCATTATATCAGCCACGATGACATTATGCAGGTAGATCACGTTGCCTAGCTTCAACTCCATCTCCTTCTCTCCACGGACGGGTATACGCTGACCGGTGGCTGTTACCAAATTAATGCGTTCTCGGTTGTATGCGGAGTCCCCAAGGAACTGACTTATAAGTTGGGAACTAACAACCGTACGAGAGGTTCCAGTGTCTATGGTCAGTTTACACGGCATTCCGTTGACCTCGCCCTTGATGATTAGACTGTTCCCATCATGGGTTTGTGAGATCGAGATCCTTGGGGCTCTTTTAACATCAGCCAGCACCCGCCCCGCAGTTCTGGCTTTTACTCGTTTCCCTGCTGCTGCTGGGCGGTGCTGTTGGCCGCACTACCCTCCTGGGATCGTTCACCTTCCCTTTCTAGGGTTCGCTTAGGGCAGCTGGATCGAAGATGGCAATTTTCCCCACAGCCATAGCACCTAGGGCTGTATCCTTTGTTGCGGGCGCGAACTGTAGCTGCTGCAACCTCCCTGACGCGATGGGAACGATGATCCTGCCGCACGGCTTCTACCTCCAGTGCATGGGCCAAGGCGTCCTTAAGCGTCTCATGGTGCCCGAGCCTCACAGCAGCTCTGACTTCCAGGTCACGGATGCCGTCGATGAATGTCTGCACCAGGTTCCCTCCAATGAGCGCAGGTACAGACCGGTATGCCTTTCACACCAGCTTCTCCACCTCTAGAGCCCACTGCTGCAGGTTTTCGTTGATGCGCTGCACGCGATCTTTAAGCTGCGCACGAAAGACGTGTTCCAGGTGAGCGTCGCCATACCTCGCCTCCAATGCCTCAATGAGTTGCTCATAAGTCACTTCCTCACCGAGAGCTTCCAGAACTGTTAAGGCCTGGTCGCGCAGGCCTAGTGTGAGAGCAGTCATGGCCTGACTTTCATTCCAGCCGTTCGCCTTCATAACAGCCTCGAACTGAATCTTGTAGGCTGACCAGGAAGAGGTACCGTCGAACGGCGGCACTTTGAATCCACGTAGCGAAGGTGTTGTAGCTACTACGGGAGCTGTTGTTCCATCCCCAAGTTTGAGGTCGTCCAGCGTTTTCTTCACGTCAGCCATTACGTTGTCAACCCGATTGTTTACTTGGTCGATTCGGGTTTCGGCCTCCGACAGGCGGTTGTCATGTTGAGCAACCTTATCCTTCACCTCCCGTATCTCTTTTCCGAAGATAGCGTGAAGGTCCTTCATGAGGAGCATCTGCTCTTCCTTATCGCGTTGGAGTTGCTCTTCTAAACGACGGGCCTGTTCCTCCTGCCAGCGGGCCTGTTCCTCCTGCCGGCGGGCCTGTTCCTCTTGTCCGCTTTGCAGCTGCTCTTTCAACTGACGGGCCTGCTCCTCCTGTCGGCGAGCCTGAACTCCTGTCGGCGAGCCTGCTCCTGCAGCATCACCATCAGAGCACCTAAGTCAGGTGCTGCAGATGTAGGAGCTACCGACGGGCCTGCAGCCGGTGGCTGGCCCTCCGTCGTCTGCGGCGTTGCACCACCAAATCTTCGTTGGTCCGTCTCCTGCTGGCGTTGACTTCGGGTACGGACACCCTCCGTTTCCTCCTTAGGTAAAATCGGCATGATTTTATCCCACTTCTGACACCAATTGTTACGAGCTTGAGGTTCGTGACAATAAAAATTGCCGATAAAATTACCTAAATTAACACTTTAATTTACTTTAAACAAATTAAAACTTAAGACACTAATAATTAAACACACTAATTCACTTAATTTCGCTCCGAAGCTTCGCTCGTATCGCCAATTCAATACTGCCTCCATCGCATCTTGCAGCGCCTATATATTTAAATTAGCAAAGAAATATCCAGAATGTTCAAGTAAACACGCGGAAGGTACCGAGCGTTCGAGTTTCGACTAGGCGCTGTCAGTTGAGCGATTTGTGATGTCATTTTCTCAATGCTCCCCTCGCTCTCGTTCCTGACACTAGATGGCGCTAGTTGACTTATTCATGCAACAATATGTTTATTATGATTTACAATTAACATCAATTAAGATATTTGTACATACCAGGCTTTCTAACCACTAACACAGCTTCTGTGAAATCATCTTCATTTTGCTCTTTACAGTAATTATGTTCAGTTGTGACATCCCATCCTGAAAAAATTACACTATCATAGCAAATAATGATGTAGAGTCAATGACACTTACAAATGGTCGTACTTTTATCTTGTTAATACTTGGGCCCAAGAATGTATAGAGACGTCTCCTTCTCTTTTAAGTACCATGGTTGAAAGTAATAAAATAACTCACCAGTTACAGTCAGAGGTACACCATGAGCTATTTCATTGTCAGTAAGCAAGGACGGGTAAGAGTATCGAAGTCTTCTGCCTTCATTGCCGAACTGAAATACATCAAAATGTTTTTCACAGACACGTTTGTTAAGTAACTGTTCTTTGGAAAGTACAATGAGCTGGGGATTTGTCGGCACTATGAAAGCCATCCACAAGTTCCTTAAATTATCGTTCCTAGGGAATCTGAAAAGCCGGTGCGTTTCACGTGTTGTATTGCAACCACCAACACAACACTTTTCGTATACCATTATGATGATATATGCAATATTCACACGAGCAGCACAAAAACAGAATATTGTAATAATTGAGAAAAATTTAGATAAATAATGGCGGCAATCAATATCGATAGTTTTGACAATATGATTTGACATTAATAGAATATGGCGTCTCAAAATGGCGTCCGTAGGCAGAGTAAAAATTGCGACGGTAGCGCCAAGTTGCGTAGAATGGAACTAAGCTGTCACGGGCCTGCGCTACACTGCGCTGCATCGGTGGGTAGTGTGTTAGACACATATGGGTGCTGCAGTTGAACGTCGCAGCGCTTACAGTCGTTACACTGCGCAGCATCGGTGGGTAGTGTGTTGGACACATATGAGTGCTGCAGTTGAACGTCGCAGCGCTTATAGCCGCTACACTGCGCTGCATCGATAAGTAGTGTGTTAGACACATATGAGTGCTGCAATTGATCTTTGCAGCGCTTACAGCCGCTACACTGCGCTGCATCGGTGGGTAGTGTGTTAGACACATATGGGTGCTGCAGCTGCACGCCGCAGCGCTTACAGCCGCTACACTGCGCTGCATCGGTGAGTAGTGTGTTAGACACATATGAGTGCTGCAGTTGAACGTTGCAGCGCTTACAGCCGCTACACTGCGCTGCATCGGTGGGTAGTGTGTTAGACACATATGGGTGCTGCAGTTGAACGTCGCAGCGCTTACAGTCGTTACACTGCGCAGCATCGGTGGGTAGTGTGTTGGACACATATGAGTGCTGCAGTTGAACGTCGCAGCGCTTATAGCCGCTACACTGCGCTGCATCGGTAAGTAGTGTGTTAGACACATATGAGTGCTGCAGCAGCACGTCGCAGCGCTTACAGCCGCTACACTGCGCTGCATCGGTGATTATGTGTTAGACACATATGGGTGCTGCAGTTGAACGTCGCAGCGCTTACAGCTGCTACACTGCGCTGCATCGGTGAGTAGTGTGTTAGACACATATGAGTGCTGCAGCTACACGTCGCAGCGCTTACAGCCGCTACACTACGCTGCATCGGTGAGTAATGTGTTAGACACATATGAGTGCTGCAGTTGAACGTCGCAGCGCTTACAGCCGCTACACTCTGCTGCATCGGTAAGTAGTGTGTTAGACACATATGAGTGCTGCAGCTACACGCCGCAGCGCTTACAACCGCTACACTGCGCTGCATCGGTGAGTAGTGTGTTAGACACATATGAGTGCTGCAGCTGCACGCCGCAGCGCTTACAGCCGCTACACTGCGCTGCATCGGTGGGTAGTGTGTTAGACACATATGGGTGCTGCAGTTGAACGTCGCAGCGCTTACAGCCGTTACACTGCGCAGCATCGGTGGGTAGTGTGTTAGACACATATGAGTGCTGCAGTTGAACGTCGCAGCGCTTACAACCGCTACACTGCGCTGCATCGGTGAGTAGTGTGTTAGACACATATGAGTGCTGCAGCTGCACGCCGCAGCGCTTACAGCCGCTACACTGCGCTGCATCGGTGAGTAGTGTGTTAGACACATATGAGTGCTGCAGTTGAACGTCGCAGCGCTTACAGCCGCTACACTCTGCTGCATCGGTAAGTAGTGTGTTAGACACATATGAGTGCTGCAGCTACACGCCGCAGCGCTTACAACCGCTACACTGCGCTGCATCGGTGAGTAGTGTGTTAGACACATATGAGTGCTGCAGCTGAACGTCGCAGCGCTTACAGCCGCTACACTGCGCTGCATCGGTGAGTAGTGTGTTAGACACATATGAGTGCTGCAGTTGAACGTCGCAGCGCTTACAGCCGCTACACTCTGCTGCATCGGTAAGTAGTGTGTTAGACACATATGAGTGCTGCAGCTACACGTCGCAGCGCTTACAACCGCTACACTGCGCTGCATCGGTGAGTAGTGTGTTAGACACATATGAGTGCTGCAGCTGCACGCCGCAGCGCTTACAGCCGCTACACTGCGCTGCATCGGTGAGTAGTGTGTTAGACACATATGAGTGCTGCAGTTGAACGTCGCAGCGCTTACAGCCGCTACACTCTGCTGCATCGGTAAGTAGTGTGTTAGACACATATGAGTGCTGCAGCTACACGCCGCAGCGCTTACAACCGCTACACTGCGCTGCATCGGTGAGTAGTGTGTTAGCCACATATGAGTGCTGCAGCTGTACGCCGCCGCGCGTACAGCCGCTACACTGCGCTGCATCGGTGGGTAGTGTGTTAGACACATATGGGTGCTTCAGTTGAACGTCGCAGCGCTTACAGCCGCTACACTGCGCAGCATCGGTGGGTAGTGTGTTAGACACATATGAGTGCTGCAGTTGAACGTCGCAGCGCTTACAGCCGTTACACTGCGCAGCATCGGTGGGTAGTGTGTTAGACACATATGAGTGCTGCAGTTGACGTCGCAGCGCTTATAGCCGCTACACTGCGCTGCATCGGTAAGTAGTATGTTAGACACATATGAGTGCTGCAGTTGATCTTTGCAGCGCTTACAGCCGCTACACTGCGCTGCATCGGTGGGTAGTGTGTTAGACACATATGAGTGCTGCAGCTGCACGCCGCAGCGCTTACAGCCGCTACACTGCGCTGCATCGGTGATTATGTGTTAGACACATATGAGTGCTGCAGTTGAACGTCGCAGCGCTTACAGCCGCTACACTGCGCTGCATCAGTGAGTAGTGACGCAATAGAATGGCTGTCAACTTTATTTTGTACGAGGCTTAGCTTCGCCAAACCCGATTCGCTGTGTTGACAGACTGAATAAATTTACACATTTTAGACTTGATTAACGTTCAAGGTCATCATGAAAAAAACCTTTTAAATTTTAATACATATTTATTTGTAACTAGGGTGCAATTTGGCATTTTCTAAATAATTTGCATGCGAAATTTGGAAACGATTGTAACGTCTAAACACGTCTCGAGTTGACATTTATAGGTACGTGTGAATTGACGTGTTAGTGACATTTTAGTGGCTACACGGGCTTCGTCCACTCCCCCGTTCTATTATGTATGTATTATGGTATTCTATGGTTAGACACATACGAGTGCTGCAGTCGAACGTCGCAGTTTTAGTTTAAGTAACAACTCTAGGAACTTGAATGGCGTTTATATGTATCATTTGCAGTAACAATTTACATTTAACACGATAAACAAGTCAGATAAGGTAAAACATAAAACGTAAATTTAGAATCAAATTCCAAAGTTGTCAAAATTATACGTAGTATGAAAGAACGCAATATTACGCAATAATTACATAAAAGCAAATAAAATTTCAAAAAAACATTCCAAAATTTTTTTAACTAATGTTTGTGGCCAGTACGCTCGATGAGTACAATGAAGAGATATTATAACCTTTTATTTACGTTCCTCAAAATTTGTCCATGATTGTATATAATTGTAATGTCGGGAGGTTCGGGGGGATAAATAATGCGTCTACTGGTCTTGAATGTAGGTTTATTACTGTCCCTCTCCTATTCCATCCTAAATATATATTATAACCACACACTACACGCCCATCGGCAAAAAGAAAAAAAAATAGAATTACAAAAATATTTTTTTTACAATGAATTTAAATGTAGTGTGTGGTTATAATATATATGTAGGATGGAATAGGAGAGGGACAGTAATAAACCTACATTCAAGACCAGTAGACGCATTATTTATCGCCCCGAACCTCGCGACACTACAATAATATATAATAATATTTGTTAATATGTACTGCTTAATAAGCAAACAATGCAATAGATACTGTAAATAGTAAAACAGTGTGAAGATGTCCATAAAAATGTTTAATGTCGGTAAACCATTGGTGGTGGCGTGGCGGAGTGCAGGCGGTGCGACGCCGCGCGGGCAGGTGGAGCCGCTGGCGGAGCTGCTGCTGGCGCTGAATCGCGCGCCGCTGGCTGACGGCGGGCTGGCCGCCTGCCTGCGCCGCGCGCTCGCCCCCGACGACTTCCCCTCGCCGCACGCCACGCGAGCGCACAAGCACCACTTCATCACCGCGCTGCTCAAGTACCTAGCCTTACTCTTGTTTATACAATAAAGCTCGTGCGTATATAATATAGGAGGTAATATAGGAGATAATAAAGGAGCGTACGTTCCACTGTGTCGTAAAAGCATTTTACACAGTCCACCTGATGGTAAGTGGATTTCGTGGCACATAGACATCTACATTTATCCTCAATTAAGAATCAAAATGCAGATGCGTTGTCACCCCTGAGGACTATGATAGAATGCTACGTTTTCAGTAAAAAGGGTCTCCAGTTCTCTACACTCACCAAATAAAACACAGCCGCATTAAGCTGCTGTTTTACGCTGGTATCCTGTGAGAGCGTGGTCCTACCCTAGTTGAGCTGACCCATTTGTGTTACAATTATAATATAACTGCAGTTTGGGTCTACCACATACTTACCACAAACATATCTATGTATACCACCACACAGGCTCTGCGCCTTTAAGAGCGCGTCGCCCAAACGGAGTGGGCGATAGTGAGGTATTTCAATTAGACTTGCTGGCTGTTTGCTTCTGTTGCGCGGCTAAGTTGACATCTCATCTCATGGCACTAGCGCCATCTAGTGTAACGGGTAACAGAGCGAGGAGAGAGCTTTCCAGAAAATGACATGACAAATTTTTTTACCGACAGCGCCATCTAGTATCATTAATTAATTGAAGAACTAAACTTTCTAGAAGCTCTACACTCGATCTTTCTGCGCTTGGTCGGTTGGCGCGCGTATTTACTCGAATGTTCTGGAATATTCTGGATGTTTTCGTGGAAGAGCCCTATATAAAGGCGCTGCAATACGCGATCGGGGAAGTATTGAAGTTGGCGAGACAAGCGAAGCTTCGGAGCGGAATAAAGTGAATCAGTGTGATTAATTATTAGTGTTTTTAACTTTAATTAGTGTAAAGTAAATTAAAGTGTTAATTTAGGTAATTCTATCGGCAATTTTTATTGTCACGAACCTCAAGCTCGTAACACTTCGTTACGCACACAGCCACAATTTCCATCGAGCGGAATATTTGCAGGTGGCATGTCAAAAGTAGGTAACTAAAGATTTGAAAAATTTAAGTTCTGAGTTTCTGTATTCTAATTTTTTTAATTTATTTAGTTTATTTCCTACAATATTTAATATAAAATAAAAGTATCTTTGAATTTAGATTGTTTTATTTTCATATTAAACACATCTTAATACAATTTGAAACTAATACAAGTTAATAATGCTAACAAATGTTCCTTTGCTTTCTATTTATACAATCCAAGTTTTGTGAACCTTTAAAAAACATTTACATAGTTGCAACTGAACAGTTTTGTTTCATTTTAATAATATTACCTATGGCAAAAGGAATAAGAACAATGAAAAAACATTTTCATTCTTAATATGTACTTTTGACTAAATGCATTATCTTTTATTTCCTCACACTAAGCATTGTAAAATGCTCTTTGCTTATATCGAATTAACTTATTTGTCTATCTTTTTGCGTTTTGGTGTGTTTTTTACTGTCATTTTCTGTTTCGTTTCTTTTATGCTTATTGCATCAACGATATATTTCGGTTCTCGTATTTCAATTTGTCTGTCTAACCGGGAATCAATTATTTCTGGTAGTAAACAATTAAAATAAAACATTTTCAATTTATGCGTTATTGCGTTCGGATTTATATTCAAATTCAGAGTTCATACATAAAATGTATGGCGAATTTGGGACGCTTTTTAGAAAATTCATAACTAAATCACGAAGCCAAATTTAAAAAATGTAAAAAGGATGAATTGTAGTGCATACGTTGTAGATTAATATGAATTTCATGTTTTGAAATAATTGAACTAATTTCGATAAAAAATTAACTAAACGGCAACATACCATTTTTAGGATTTTGTCTAACTTTATGAATTTTTAAAACAGAAACTAAAGATATTTATTTATTTTTGCTTCGGAATAAAGGTAAATACATTCCTAGTGATGTTTAATAAATAATTTTTATATTATTTATTGTAACCACAAAGGATAATTTCACTTAACAGTGACTATAGACAATTTTGATTTAATACGGGCTTTCAGTTTTAAGAATATGGTATCAGATTAAAATGTATGATTTTGGGTCGGCTTTAGTAATCTGCTGCACGATTTAAGTGACTATTTTAGCTTTAGTTGACAGGCAATGATGATATTGATTACCATTTAGCTGCTTTTTATGCCGGAAATCTTTATTTTTCGAGATATCGATAGTTAAAGTGAGGTTATATCGAGTTGGCTAGACATCCGGTACTTGATTTTGATTAATTAAATTACATATAACGAAACGCAAATATTATATCAGTTTGTTTTTTTAACACAGATACACTCATAAAAAAGTTAATCACTCAGACTCAAAAAAGGTAATAATATAAATATTAAATTATTAAATTAGCCGACAGCGTGTTTGTGCCATCTAGCGTAATCTTTACGTACCACCGTGAGAATCAATCAATTTTCGTTCGATAAAATGACTTCACCTATAGAATTAAGTAGATGGCGCTATTAAAATTTTATATACTGAACTGAGAAGATAAAGCTTTAAGGACTAAAGTAAATTCTTTAAAAACCTCAATACATCTATTCATTTAATTTATTATATTAAAATTTGGGGTCCACATTAAAAAAAGGATTGTAACAATCATTTGCTATAAAATTAAACTTATACCTAGGTACCTCATGTATTAATTTTATGCTGAAGTTCAAAATGTTATTTTTAACTCATATGATAAGTATTGTTCACCTTATTACCTATTACACCTTTAAATACGCCTAGAAAAATTAAACTTTAATACTAAAGAGCCCGGTACCTATTAAAGTATGAAGAAATGTTTATTGAATTAAATTTCATTTTTAAAGATTTTACCTTTTCCTCGCCGATTAGCACTTTAACACACTTATATTCATCACAAGGAACACTATTATCCTTCCATTTTCACTAAAAATCTTTGAAAAAGCATAAATTTTTAACAGACAACAAAAACAAACATAAACATTGAAATGTGAAGAGAACTTGCAAACGTATTACCGTACCACCACTCGCTAATGCATTCCCAAACAACTTCAGGGCAAAGCACGGCTTTTGGTGCCATAGTGATTGCTATATAAACATTTCGTAGTTATATTTCACTATAGAACATTTTGCCACAGGTTAGAAAGGGGACGATCGTCTTCTCGAAAGCCCGGTAAAAAACCAACGCGTGCGAGAGACGATAAAATCAACTCCTTGTTTTAATTAATTTTGACAGTCTAGTGTATTTCAAATTGAAAGCAAACTGCCAAGCGTTGACGTTACATGTTATATGCTACGAGGTCATGAAATAGTTTGAAACAGTTATTTTATTAGTTGATATTGTTGACTGAGCATTTTTATAGAGCAAGCCCGGCTTCTGGGCTTCTATGGAGGCTTCGCCACTGCTTCTTTGATATCAGAATTTAAATCTCCGACATACAATGATGCCATAGGGTAGTGAGGTAGACTGGGATTAATTTTGAAATTTTTACTTTGGGCATTTTATGTGTAACATCTAATAGTTGTATTCAAAAAGCAATTTTACTTTCTCTTTATGATTTTCTATCCAATTCCTTAAGACAACTTTGCACGCTTATGTGTACACCTACTTACAATCAAAGAATTCCCATTTAATATTTTACTATTATTTTAGTTTTTATAAATTTTGTGCTTTTATTTTGGAAGAATATTTCACGAAATTTGAGAATTGTGCGACCTATTTTTACGTAAACACACTTTCCTCACCAAAGGAAAAGTGAAAGGTTGTGTTTGCTAGGAATTGACATCTGTTTAAATTAACTTTGGCCGTTTGTTCCAGGGAGAAGAATAGTAAACGAAGAATTTTAGAAACAGTGCAAGAGTTTTCTCTTGTCTGTCGAGGCCTGATTGACACAGACTACGCACGACAGACGATTGCCTCAAAGCAGCTTGTCGCTTGAGAATATTAGACCAAAACAACTTAGAATTTCTTTTGACATTTCAATACAAAAATAGTGTTGGTTCATTAGTGCTTCAGTGTGATCTCTTTTGTAGATACGATAAACTGTGATGATTGCCTTTGATGGCATGTTGTTTGTAATAACATTGTATAATGTTACAAGGCAAGGCAATAACTATAGGTAATTGTGATTTTTATTTATTTAGTAATTGTATTTTTGTTAAATTCTTTTAAAATCAAATGTTTATATGGTAGAAGCAATTATTGATTTTAGTATTTTTTACAATATTAGATAATTTAACATGTAAATAAATTAAGAATAATTCCTAGTGTAAATATTAATGACTTTTGTAAAATAAAATTCATGTAATTGTTACCTGTCTTTATTTTATTGAACTTTTGATATAAAGACATATTTAACACCACATACATTTATAATATGGTTACAATAATTTAAATACACTGATAGAAGTTAATGTTAAATCTTGTAGATACCACAAAATTCCTACTTAAAACCTTAACTATAAAAATGCCAAAACCCCTGTAAAGGGAAACCAGCCATTTATGACTGATGATTTTTATTATTAAGAATCTTACATGGATACGTTAATCTAAAACAACATTAATGGTGCGGTTTTTAATTACGCATAAAACCACCGTAATCAGAGCCAGCCCTCTATGAGGAAATGGCATTCAATAGTGTCATATAATAGACGCAAAAACTTACTAAACACACTTTATCTTGAGCTAAAATAACAAAATATATGACGGGTATGTTCCAAAATAGAACCCAGTGTACTGTCCAATGCAAATGACGTCATGAATCGACGCTATACTGGTGATTCGTTCCAAAACATAGGACAGTATATGACGTCATACATTTGCGCCATATTGGAAAAGTGTTGGCGATTATTTTGTCATTTTGTGCTCCAAAAATCATTATATCCTCCTATTGGAGATACCAGCAATTATTTTATAACTTTTTGTATTTGAATAAATAAAAACAAATTCTGATGACGTCATTTGTATCGGCAGAATATTGAAAACGTGTCGGTACATACCCAACATATGATTTAAAAACTGAGTGAGCATCGAAACTATAGTTCATAAGAATAAAAAAATGGTCTCTGAAAATGTCCTGGAAATGTACTCATAGCACCAATAAAATACATTTAATAAAAAATAAAAATCAAATACATTTTTAATACAAAAATAGTTAAAAGTTGGGGTGCCGATTCAATGCAATATATCTTTTTGTTCGATTGATTTAAGTATCGGATTCTTCCTTAGGAGTTTCACCTGTATCACGGCTGTTTATTTCGACATAAAAATCGAGAAATTTGTCTGGCTCACAATGCTTGTTTCTCAACCTGAGGAAGTTGAGAGCTTGATCGAGGGTAAGGTGAAAACAGTCCTGACGTGACACGTTGAGGGAAGAACTTTCTAGGTCGCTGTGAGTGACCCTTGAATAGACCAGCTTACGCTCGTTTTGTTGGCCAACAACAGTTACCTGAAAGAAATTAAATGTCTTAAACCTTGTGTCAAACTTTTTATCACAGGATAAAGTTGGTATATTATTACAATGTTCAGTTTCACGAGAATTTACTAAAAATTAAGGAAAATTGGTCTTTTCGCCCATTTACATAATTAGAATCGAAGCCAAAAATATTTTATTCACTTAGGCTTATTTAAAGTTCACAAAACAAAATCTACCACTAACCAATGTAATGTCAAATTATAATGAATAAAACTACAGTATAAAACGAAATATTATGTAGACAAATAAAATGTTAGAATGAATGAAACCTTGAAATATTATATTAGCTTCTCGTTCAAAAAAGAAGCGTGCCCCACAAAGGCGTAAATTTAAGGCTAACACTCTATGTGGAATGTACTCGTACCCGTTTGGCTTTTAGTTTGCGATTAACTGTTGGCTTGCGTTTGTGGCGGTAAACACTATTAAAATCAATGCAGCGCGGTCACACTACGCTTAAAAAAATAAAGTTAAACTTCACATGTCTTCGAAATATTTTTTTTCTTATTCCTCAGACATGCAGGTTTCCTCACGATGTTTTCCTTCACCGCCGAGCACGTGGTAAATCAGCACTTAAAATTGAAATTAACAATTTCATTGGTGCCGGCGGGGATCGAACCCGGGTTACTCGCGTTCTGTTATATTTACAGCGAGCGTTAACCACTGAGCTACCGTAAACTAATATTAATATATTACATCACAAAAAACATAATATTCAAGCATTAAATTCATCAAAGCAATTCATTTTCTTTGACTTGCATAATGAAAGACATTATGGGCACGCACGTCTAACGCTGTCACAGTTCACGCAAAATGGTTACTGCAGCCTATGGATACCAGCTACCAATTATCTACAACAAAAGGCCGCTGGTCATTGCCACTGAAAATAGTGCATCACTGTCTGTACTTAAACTGGCTGTCAAAACCCTTTAAACCGGAATACAACAATGGATGACGTTCGATAAAATAGGTAAGAAAATTGTACATTTTCCAACAACCTAATCATCATCAGTGCAGATCCAGAAACATAAAACCATGTTTTGTAAATATATTGCTATGGATTCTACCATGTACCTCGTATGTAAAGTTGTTTGCGTTGCATTTGGGTCCGATGTACGCCACGTAGACGACCACACCCCATGTGCGGATGTCGACGTCAACGCGCAAATGAAATAGTTCCCTCGCGGCCAACACCAGCCACGTGTCGTGCTGCTCAGAGTTCATCTTCATTGAGAATTTATGCTTCTTACCAGTCTTCACCATGGCCGGGTGTTTGCTCTGCATTTTTAAATAAAATTACGAGTCCGGTAATTGGAAAAAAACTTCGCTAATCAATAAACATTTCCCTATGTGCATGTGTGGTACAAAATGGGAATGCAAAAAATATATAATACAGGGTAAATTACCATGTATCTTAGCTTTGCTATATCACTTGCTTATACAAAAGATACATTTTACAACTTAGCGTTATTTGGCTGAGAGTATGCGGTGCGCGTGCGTGCGTGCGGTGTGCGCGTGCGTGCGTGTGTGCGAGCGGGGTGTTACCTGCAGGTGGTGGTGCAAGACGTGCAGCGGCAGCGGCGCGGGGCAGCGGTAGTGACGCGCGCTGCGGCTCGCCACGTGTGTGTGTGTGTGTGTGTGTGTGTGTGTGTGTGTGTGTGTGTGTGTGTGTGTGTGCGGCGTGCGTGCGTGCGTGCGTGCGTGCGTGCGTACGTGTACGCGCATGTGTGTGGGCGGGGTGATACCTGCAGGTGGTGGTGCAGGTCGTGTAGCGGCAGCGGCGGGCGGTGTGTGCAGAGCGGCGCGGGGCAGCGGTAGCAGTGCGCGCTGCAGCTCGCCACGTGCGTGTGTCTCTGTGTCTGTGTGTGTGTGTGTGTGTGTGTGTGTTGCGTACGTGTACGCGCATGTGTGCGGGTGGGGTGGTACCTGCAGGTACGTGCAGCGGCAGCGGCGGGCGGTCAGCGCACAGCGGCGCGGGCAGCGGTAGCGGCGCTGGCTGCGGCTCACCACGTGTGTGTGTGTGTGTGTGTGCGTGCGTACGTGTACGCGCATGTGTGCGGGCGGGGTGATACCTGCAGGTGGTGGTGCAGGTCGTGTAGCGGCAGCGGCGGGCGGTGTGCGCAGAGCGGCGCGGGGCAGCTCTAGCAGTGCGCGCGCTGCAGCTCGCCACGTGCGTGTGTTGTGTGTGTGTGTGTGGTGTGTGCGGGCGGGTGACGCAGGGCGTACGTGTACGTCTGTGTGTCCGTGTGTATGTGCGTGCGTACGTGTACTCGCATGTGTGCGGGCGGGGTGATACCTGCAGGTGGTGATGCAGGTCGTGTAGCGGCAGCGGCGGGCGGTAGATGCAGAGCGGCGCGGGGCAGCTGTAGCAGCGCGCGCTGCAGCTCGCCACGTGCGTGCGTGTGTGTGTGTATGTGTGTGTGTGTGTGTGTGTGTGTGTGTGTGTGTGTGTGTGTGTGTGTGTGTGTGTGTGCGCGTACGTACGTGTACGCGCATGTGTGCGGACGGGGTGATACCTGCAGGTGGTGGTGCAGGTCGTGTAGCGGCAGCGGCGGGCGGTCGGCGCAGAGCGGCGCGGGGCAGCGGTAACGGCGCGCGCTGCAGCTTGCCTCGTGCGCGCCGCGTCTCCGCAGCCGCACCTCGCGCCCGCAGCCGTGCCGGCACGGATACCGCAGCATTTCCGCTACCTGCACGCAAAGCCAAATATCGAGATTAATAATGTGGGAACATACGCATTAGCAATGCAATAATATTAGCAAATTATTCAATGTACTGTGTTTTTATCAAATGTATACATGTCCAAAAAGGCCATACCAACACTGGATGCCATACATGCTCGCTACACCATTTATCTTAAGAGTATCAACCCTATCATGAACTTATTAAACTTATCTTTACTTTAGCATTTTAAAATTATCTTTATCTAAAAAAAGTTCATAATTAAATGGATAACAAGTTACATAAAAATACATTTAAATTCGATTTTTTGCACAACTTAGACTATGTATCTGAAGTAAGTACAGGTACTAATGGGTCAGCTCGCCTGGCAAATGACCGCACTTTTACTGAATACCATTTGTAATAGTAGCTGCATAATACCTTTCATATGGTGAATGACGAGAAATAAACTTGTTATCCTTACTTCTATAAAAAACACACACTAAGATTTACACAAACTTAAATGCACATGAACTAACATCCAGAACCGAAACAATTATTTGTAGGTCATACAAATACTGTCTGTGAATGTCTGCGGGATTCGACTCGCAGCCTATAGCCACTGCGAACGAACGTTGGCGGCTACTATAGGACAAGCTCTGTATGAAAATCCAATCCTTATTTAATATCTATATCTATATATAGAGCGTCATTTCCGTATAAGGAAAACTCAGTGCACTCTTGACAAGCACGACAGAACCACAGTATAAATATGTACAGTAAGGAAACTAAGCCTAGTTGAGGACATAACTACCTACGCTCCATGGAAGCGATAGGGTTGTAACTTTTAATGTTTTTGATATTTTTTTTTTTACATTTTTGTTATGTAGTGATCAATCAATGGGATTTAAATAATCAGCCTACAAATACTTAAGTAGGTAATTTCATGGTGTCGGTTAATCTCAGCAAAAGACAATAGTTTAAACACGGAAAACAATTTAATATTAACATACAACAACTTGTAGAGATATAGATCTTTAACTTAGTCATTACGGCGCAACCTTTTACAAGTTTTGGCGGGAGCATACGTAATACGTTCGTGGCATTTTTAAAAAGATCGCAGAGATAAACTTAAAAAGCGACGCCACTCGACAACTCGTCTTGACGCGGCTCTCGCTACTGAGAGCACCGCGTCGTCCGCGTCGTTTTTTTTGAGTTTTAGTTAGTTTTGAGCGTGACGCTTCGCATACACCTAATTCGTCATTGGCCGAAGTTTGCTCAGGCGATGACGGCCGAACTCGGACGATCGAATCAAACACTTGTAAAACAAAGAGAGCGCTTGCACGATAACGGCCGATCAACCGTCGAGTCCGAACTTGTTGGGATTTCTCGCCCGACTGTCGGCGCCTACAGTGCAAATTGAATGTATTTATAGTTCAATTTAATCATTTTGTCTTTATTCTGTTGTTTCTGTCAGTGTTGTTATCTACTTAAACGACTATGGACATTGAAAATATAATAATAGAAAAGAATACCGGCAACGTCCAATGCCGGCACAAGTGGTACACTGTTGCAGTGTAAGCACATACACGCGCGAGTTACTCGTCCGGGTAGTTCTGTCCGCCATCGGCCGACAAAATTGGTTTTGGTGTAAACGTACCGAGTTTTGAGCGTTTGTAGGGAGTTTCTTAACTGTTCCTGTATATTAACTATGACAGAACAGTTAACATTAGTACAAGTTGCAGGTGAATGTTGTATGTACCGCATAGACCGCATAGTGGCGGTGTAAGAATATCAACTAGTCCATATCGTCCTGTGGCGGTCGTAAAAGGCGACAGAGGTAAACTGAAATGCTGCTGCCCAGGAGACGCGCAGCAGCATTTCAGTTTACCTGATAACAACTCAAAATAATAAAAAATCTGCGGTTGCCGCCTCGCTAGCCTAGCGTGGTAGCTGTAGCAAAATTTCTACTATGTGGCATTCTATGGCGGAGACCCATGTTTAGCAGTGTGGATGGATGGATGGGTATGTACCTTTTTAATTGACATACATAACAGAACTTAAAACCTATAATGCTTCTAAATATGTATATGTATATATGCTGTTGGTAAGTCTTTATCATCATCGCAGCCCTTTATAAGCATCGAACATAGATCTTTACCAATGACTACAATGCACGGTCCTGAGCCACCTGCATCCATCAACTTGCTGCATATAACATGAGGTCATCACTTCATCTAGTGGGGTCCGTTTTACTTACCAGTATGAGGTTGCCACTCGAGAACCTTTGGTATGTATTAGGAATAAATAAATAAATAGGGTATAACTGACCCCCTCCATGGCGCGGTTGCGCACGGAGGAGAAGGCGGTGCGGCACACGGGGCAGGCGGACAGGCGCGAGCGGCAGCGGCCGCACACCAGGTGACCGCGCCGGCACTGCGACATGGGCGGCTCCATCCACTCCAGGCACACCGGGCACTCCAGCAGCCGCAGCAGGCACTGCGCACACGCACACAAACCTTACTCCACCGTCAATTAACCCACTCATTTGCTGACCACGAGATTCCGGGTCGGGCCAAAATTGCTTATTGGTTTTTCTGCCAAGCAATTCTTAGTAGCAGCCCGAAGTCCAGAAGTCTAGTCTCTAGTCTGCTAAATTCCAACATCGTACACAGCTACGGAATTTACAATTCCATCCACATATCTCGATGGTTGGCAGTCCACTACCATTAGACCACATTGTGGAATCTACTGCCACCAACGGTTTTTCTAGACCGATACGACTTCGGACCTTCAAGAAAAGAGATTACTCCTTTCGCTTCGTTTCTAAAATCAATTTATTTCAGTTATGTCTTTAGCATAACGTCGTATAGTCAGTTTCGCGACAGGGAAACGCAACAGATTCATAAACTATTGTTGTTTTGCAAAAGAAGAACATAAAAGTAATTTAAAAAATAAAACCTTAAGTCTCTCAAAAATAAAATTAAAGAAATAAATATATTAACTTCTTTGTCCGTACATTTATGTAAACATTGGGAAGAAACACAAACTGGTGATACCCGTTATTTAAATCTACTGAAATTCGTTCAAGGTGATGTGCATATTACAAAGTTCCAGAAAATGTAGGTACCAAGATATCACCAATCAAATAAAGATTATGTAAAAAAGGTTACTATAATATTAGTTAAATAGGTAGTTTATAATAAACATTGGGAATTAAATTATCATTACTAAGCCGTTTCTGAAATGTGTAAATAAAAAGTTAAGTATATTTAGTTTGTAAGTTCCGCTGTAAATAGTTTATTTATAATAAATTCATACTTACTTGGTTAAATTCCTTTACTGTGCAAGGTTCACAGTTGCTATCCTGAGCTGGAAAAAAAAACAATAAGTAGTTGTCAGCTCTATAAATCAATAAGCAAAAAACATATAATAAATAATATTCCGGGTCTGAATGATTATTTATAGGCATTGTGAAACTTCTGTATGTAAACTGCCTCCATAATACATAATTTATAAGCAAATATATATTTAACGTTGGTAGTTTTTTAAAAGAAATTAAAATATCTTACATTCCCTTTTCCTTTTGACTGTACGTGGCTTTAGTTGTGATTTGGAAGTAGATGGAGCTGCTGTGTCGGAGCCCTGAAAATATTACATTATTTATGGTATTTATGGTACTAAAACATCAATTTCATAGATCTTAGAATTCCTTTATACATATCATACACTAGTGAGCATGTATCCATTATAGTTACACTTACAATACAATACATCCCATTATTCCCCATTTAACAAGACTAGTCACTTCTCTTAGAATTATTTCCATATGAAACTAATTACGCTAAAATAACCTACGCTATTTCATAATTTTGTGATAAATTTGTATACTAAAGTAATTTGTTAACGTGGTAACATATAGGTATTTATTAGTGTAACATAGTTATAACTTATTAACAAGAAGTGTGCACTTAAATCTAAGATTATGTTTTATTTTCAAGTTATTATAAGTATATTTATCTATAACTATCCTTACAAAGTTATATGCTGAACAAAGTTAAAATTTTAATAGAAAATAAACTTAAGCTAAATAAAAACTAACACCTCCCCTTATGTCTAAAGCCGCCTGTAGAAAGACTACCAACTTACGACCCTTAGTTTCCTCTATCGGACCCGAATATGACCGCTGCTTCTGTATCTTCTCGGAACGCGAGATGTTAGGACTGCAATCGTCAGTGTTATTAATGGTCTCTTCCAATTCCGGAGTCCGTGAATGTAACTGATCAACATGACGGACCAACCTTATACCATTAGTCGACTCGACCTCATATACATTTCGGCCCCGCATACCGGTCACTGCATTTCAAACACTTGTCCGTTTTCCTATAGTCCCGCGCCCATACTAATCCGAAGCGCAACTGGCACCACTACTCGACAACTCCAGATAATGCAGCCGCCTTCAATTGACAAGTCGTCGCGACGTCTGTAATATGGTGCGCATTCTTCATTGCATAGCCCGGATGCTACACCCCGATCTAATATAATTGCAAATTCTAGACAAAATTTTGTCTTTTGCCGTCATTAATCGTATTTCATTAAAGTCTACAGGGAAATTGTCTTCGATAAAATTTAAATAAATATTATCATCGTTTTGTCTATATTCGTCGGCCACGTTTAAAGGTAATCTAGAAAGTGCATCAGCTCGATTTGCTGATGATCGAACGTACTGTATTTCATACTGATATCCTGATAACAAAATAGCCCATCTAACTAATTGTCCCGTCCGTGTGAGGTAATTCTTTTTTTGATCCAAAAATCGTAACAAGCGGTTGATGGTCCGTGCGAAGGATAAACTTACGCCCATACAAATTCGAGTGAAACTTTTTTACTCCGAATACGATTGCAAGCGCCTCTCGTTGCACCTGACTATAGTTCGCTTCTGCGTTTGTTAGTGTGCGGGAAGCGTAAGCGACCGGCCGCTCACCGCGTTCGGTATGATGCGTCATCACCGTGCCTACGCCCCGCGCGCTCGTGTCGCAACTCAACAATATCACAGGTAACTTTTCGTTATAATGTATAAGAACCGGACAATAACTATAAGTTTTGATTTGATTATTTCAAAGACCTGCACTTGTTCAGTATCTCATTTCCAAACTGAATCTTTTTTAAGTAAACTATATAGTGAAGATAAAATTTCGGAAATTCCTTTAATAAATTTCGAATAAAAAATCACCATTCCTATAAATGATTTTAATTCCGTTATATTGGTCGGCGGAGGTGCTTTTAGTACCGCTTCCACTTTTTGCTTGTCCGTACTAATCCCATGTTCCGAAATGACGTATCCTACACATTACTTCCTTTGAAAAAATAAAATACATTTTCCTTTACGAATTGTTAATCCTGCCTTAAATAACTTCTCAAAAACCGAGTGTAAATTTTTTTTATGTTCTGTACTTGTCACTCCCGTTATCAATATATCATCTAAAAAAATGGAAACGTGTCGTATGCCGACCAAAAGTTTCTCCAATATTCGCTGAAAAATTGAAGGTGCAGATGCCAAGCCGTAAACTAATCTGTTATATACAAAAAGATCTCTATGTGTGTTGACAACGGTGTACATTTTTGAATCGTATAGTTCTATTTAGTTGTACGCTTCAGAGAAATCGATTTTAGAAAACTGTTTTCCGCCGCTTAAATGATTAAAGAAACATTCAATGCGTGGAAGTGGATACCGATCAATTTCTAAGACCGGGTTAACGGTAACGGTGACACAAATTCGTAAAGAACCATTACTTTTAAGGACTACCACTAGACACGAGGCCCAATCGGATGCCGGAATTGGAGATAATATACCCGTGCGTTCCATACGATTCGGCATCGACTCGCGGTTTCAAAGCTAGCGGCAGGGGGCGAGCGCGTCTGTACACTGGGGCCGCGTCGGCCCGAACGCGCAATGTCACTCGCTCACCTTTCAATTTACCTAGTTTATCGCTAAACACGTGATGATAGCTCTCCACAAACGTCTTGCAATCGAATCTGCTAACGTTGCTGGATATAGATTCCATCTTATCTCTATTCTCAGTTACCGAATTAACGTTCATAGTCATTACATTTATTTTAAGATCTTTAAGCCACCCTCGTCCCAATAATGGTACCCGACCGTTTTTAATAACATATTATTTTAGTGGCTTACTAACATTATTGTAGGATACAATTACCCTTATATATCCAAGTGAAATTATACGATTACCATCGTAACCACTTAATTTTAAACCATCATTAGTAAGTGAAAAGTTAATCTTAAACAATGTCTTATACATACTTTCATTAATACAAGATATTGGTGAACCTGTATCTACATGCATTTGTATCGGCTGCCCCAAGACTAAGACGTTGGCGATGATAAGCTCACTCCCGCTGCTGCGCTGCCTCACCATGTACAAGCCGCTCGACCCAGCAGGACCGTTGCTAGCACCGCAACGGGACTCCATGCGATCCTCCACTTCTTCCGTGCTGCATTGCGACCCATCACTCGCTTCTTACATACGAAATAACTGTCCTCCCTCACCCCGGACATTTGGACATACTCTTTTTAAGTGCCCTCTCCTGTGACACACGTAATCTTTAAATTTACATACCCTGACCGCGTGATCATGACCACCACAGCAACGACAATACTCTCTGGCATTACACATTGTAGATTTTACCCTTGCAGCTTGCTGGCCCGTACTCCGCGTACGGTAGCCTCGCCGGTTGGCGGGCGGACCCCGCGGCCGCCACGTGCCACGTGTCGTGTGCGCCTCGCGCGCCACGTGCCCCGTGTACCGAGGCCTCTTCTTCCAGCTGCTGCTGAACTGTCGCTGAGTCCCTCATTGCCGCTTTCAAAGTTATCGCCTTATTATATGCCGCAAAGTATGTTAGATTATCTTCACAAAATAGCCGTTGGCGGGTAGGTTCGCTTCTGAGCCCGCATATAAATTGGTCTCTGACGTTCTCATCCAAATTAGCTTTAAAATTGCAAGACAGTGCCAGGTGTTTTAAGGCAGCAGCAAATTGCGCCACTGTTTCGTTAGCACCTTGTATTCTTTTCCTGAATTTATATCTTTCAGCAAGAATTGACGGCGTAGGCTGAATATGCTTCTTCACTACTTGAACCAGGTCTTCATATTTCAATTCGGACGGTTTCTTAGGGGTGCAAATGTCGACCATGAGATCGTACGTCGCGTCGCCGACGCACGCTATTAACCCGGCGCCAATGACGCTGGGTCATATTGACCCGAGGCGATTTTAAACAGACTCAGATTTTTTTTAAGGATAGGGAGAGTTAATGGGAAAAAGGGTGGTTTTTTAGAAAAAGGGTAATATAACTGAGAGGGTTTTTGACTTCGGTCGTAAAGTTTGAAAGTTTGTGTAGCTGGAGATACAGCATCCCTCTTCCCGGACCGTTGGTATACTAAGTGCGATGCTGACTGCGCAGCGAGATATACGTGCGTCAAGTCAATACGGGTAAATATGACCCAGCGTCATCGCTGGCGTAGTATTTTTGTGACTTACTTTTATTCGTTTATTTGGTGTTTGAGGTTAATTTACTTTGTTCTATTTCAGTTTTTTGTCAAAAATATCATTAAGAAATAACACTGAAAGACAAATACTTGATAATTTAGCACAAATACGTGAACTTTTTCATGAGTTTGTTGAAGAATGTAAAAAAATGTATTAGCTGGGAGAAAACACGCTTGATGAGATGCTAGACGCATTCCGAGGAAGATGCCAATTTAGGCAATATAAACGTCTAAACCAGCAAAATACGGGATTAAAATATTAACTTTAGTAGATTCAAAAACATTTTCTGCGAAAAGCAACCAAATGGCCCATATTCGATTAGTTACAAACCGTTTGATGTAGTAAATCTCCTTGTGTTACCAATCTCCAATAATCATCGTAGTGTACCTTTGATAATTGGTTAATTGGTAATGTTGGATATATCGGGCTTAAATGCTAATGTAATATATCGGGCTAATAATAACGATACACATTCAAAAAGGCGTCATTTCTAGAAAACCTGGGACACACTTTGGTACATGAGCATTTACAAATTCGAAAGACACGAGTTAATTTACATCGTCAATTGTGTTAAAAAATCTCAGATTTCGTGGGAGAACCTACCGAGGAATCTCCCAGTAAGGTTCCAGGAAGTCGTAAGAGACGTCAAGTATGTCCGTCTAAAAAGAATAAGAAAATATCTCATACTTGTGCGTGCCACATTTACATATGGCCAGATCATTTGATTCCATATTGCAATAATTGTAGTAGTTCCTCTGTCTGTGAATGAGAAAGTAGATGACTGATTCCTTCTTATTTTTATGATAAGAAGTTTGTATGATCTCTTTTTTAGTACATAAAATCATTGATTACTATTATTAATTCGAAAAATTATCCAAAAATGAAAAAAAAAGTATTGATGTTATGTTTACAATATTGATTTTGCATGTGTTATAAGAAAATCTAATAAAAAATGATTTAAAGGTTATATTAGTATTATTTCAATGTTATTTCATATGAAAAGAACCCTTATTTTATAAACATTTATTTAAGTTCAGAAAATTACTTTAATGTCGTGAAAAATTATCCAAAAAATTCCGGGTCATGATGACCCAGTGTCATCGCCCGCGTTATTTTTTTTTATGTCATTGGTGCCGGGTTAATGTAGGTACTCGAAGATAATTTTTTACGTCGTTAACGACGAAATATTGTTCTATGTGCTCAATATAAGTTGTCCACCGTTTAATAAATTAAATTCGGTTATCTTCCAGATAGACATTTTTGAATTTACCGACTGCGCCACTGTAATGTATGGCAATTATTGTTAATAAAACGCGCGACCGTCTGAACAACAGATATTTATTGACTGACAGTGAGTAAGGGTCAGCGCACACCAAGAGCAGAGCTGAGTAGAGCATTTTCTGAGAGCACTAAAATATTAATTTTATGACTATTGACAGACAGTGCAAAATTATATACACGTCTAAACTTGATGCTCGACCATGCTCGAGCTTGCAGGATGCATGTTCGAGCATGCTCGAGCGCGCTCCCACCGCCGCCGCCCGCGCTCAGTATTGCCGCAGCGAAAAAACTGTTTCGACGTGTGTGTGGTTTACACCTATAAGCGCGTCACATAAGTCGGAATCATGGATGAAGAAAAGTTGATAAATTTGGTGCAGCGTTTTGAGTGTCTGTACAATATATCATGTCCAACATACAGCGATCGTATGTTAAAAGCCAATGCTTGGGAAAGAATCTCCACGTTTCTTCTACCCATACTGTTTATCTAAGTTTCTGAAGTCTGATTTTATTAATATGTTCTTTATGTTCCTCTCTCTGCCAAAAGGGCGGTAATCACCAAGTCTCATTCGATCATATTGAACACTTCTATCAACGTCAGATTTTGGCATCAAATTGGTAATGCACGCCCCCCTAGCAACCCAGAGCACTTTTAATGGATCTTGCTCACGGAGGCCCGCGGATGCCGCCTGCATGGTCGAGTAGTAAAATTTTTGCTCGAGCATGCGCGAGCATTTTGCAGCTCGGTCTGCGCTTACCTTAAGTCGGGCGTAAGGCTGTAAGACATGACGTGCCCGTATACATATACATATCTATTATAGTTACACTTACAATACAATACATCCCAATGTGGTAAAACCATTGATTTATATATTACACTAGATCAGTAATAATCGCACCAAAGCGTTGCCACTGCACATATGGCCACAGCCATATGCCTAGCTAACGCGTCAGTTCATTGTTCAATGTGACGACGACAGAGTTGAGCCGCGACAAAAAATGGGTAAATGCGTAGTGAAAGAATGCTATTCAAGGTCAAACAAATGTAATAAATCAAGCGGAATCACTTTCAACACACAATTTTTAGTTCTTGTTTTCGTATAAATGTAAAAACCTCAAATAATTAAATAAAATTATGGAATATTGCTATTTAGGTTCAATGTTGCCACTTTTCCGCATTTGTGATTATCCTACATTAATGGGAGACTATATAATGAAGGGAGTAAGTTAATTTGTTACCTCTGATTTTAAATATTTTGGAAATTATAATAAAAACTACGTTTTAACTTTCATACAAAATAATTAATTATTCTTATTTTAGTTTATTCATGAATTATCTACTTTCTTTTTTGTTTTGTTCTAAATATATTTCATTACCTATTTTAATTAATAAATTTATATTAATTATGATTTCATATAAATTTTATATTAATTATATTTTATTACCTATCTTATATTTTTTGATTTATTAGTACAATAAAAATACTTATAAAAATATGTTTTATTTCATCATTATGTTTACTTCTATTCATCTGGTAAGCTTTTTATCCGTTTTTTAAGGGGATGCAATAAAGATTTTAAAATAAAATGTACTTTTTTACTATAAAACAATTAACTGCAGCCATTTTTATTGCGTATTTTAGGTAAAATTTCATAAAGTAAGCCACACCAACCCGCCATTGCATGTTTGTGTGTCTATCTTTATCTAATCATAGCGACAATATTGTTTTCGCAACTTGTGTAAGTGAGATAGATATATGTTTATTTATAATTATTATTACGAGGGTGGATTGAAAAGTACTCGGCCTAACACAGATCCATTCAATTCTAAAAATCAAATCTACCCACATTATTTAGTTCAGGTCAGACTAGTTCATTGTGTGAAGTTCGAAACGTGTGCGATAATTAGTTGTGATTTTATAAATTTATTAACAAAGTAATCGGACATAATTTCCGCGAATGGAGCAAATCGAGCAGCGTGCCGTCATTAAATACCTCCATAAGAAGGGGCTATCATCAAAAGCCATCCATGATGACATGGTCAGTACATTAGGCGATTGTGCTCTGTCATATTCATCCGTCAAAAAATGGATAGCAGAATTTAAGTGTGGTAGAGAGAGTGTGAAAGATGAACCCCGCTCTGGAAGGCCTTCGACGTCAACTACTGACGAAAATATTAAAAAAGTACTTGATTTAATAATGGGAGACCGCAGATTAAAAATTAGAGAGATAGCCGAGATTATAGGCATCTCTTATGAACGAACTCAAAACATCATTGTCAACGAGTTGGGTTTCCACAAGGTGTCTGCGAGGTGGGTTCCGCGACTGCTTTCAGTTGAACAAAAAAGGACGCGATTGACTATTTCACGCGACTGTTTGGAGTTATTTGAAGCCGATGCAGATGATTTTTTTGAATCGTTTTGTTACTATGGACGAAACATGGGTTCATTACTGTACACCGGAAACAAAACAACAATCAAAACAGTGGAGAAGACCTGGTTCACCACCCCTAAAAAGGCTAAGTCGATTTTGTCGGCAAATAAGGTGATGGCTTCAGTATTCTGGGACTCGAAAGGTGTGATTATGATTGATTATCTTGAAAGGGGTCAGACTATAAACTCTGATTACTACTGCACCTTACTACGTCGTTTACGAGAGGAAATAAAAGAAAAACGTCGAGGAATGCTCAGAAGAAAAGTCCTGTTTCATCAAGATAACGCCCGTGTTCACACGTCGGTACAGTCAATGGCTGAAATTCACAACTGTGGCTTTGAACTTATACCGCATCCGCCGTATTCACCTGATCTGGCACCATCAGACATCTTTCTGTTCCCTAACCTAAAAAAGCACTTGGGAGGTCAAAGATTTTCGACAAACGACGAGGTCAAAGCAGCTGTAGACGCATATTTTAACTCTAAGGAAGAATCATTTTTTTTCAACGGTCTAAATGCTTGGAAGGGGAGGTGGCAAAAGTGTATTGAACTTGATGGTGATTATGTAGAAAAATAAAAATATAACTGATTTAGTATGTGTTTATTTTCCTGGTTAGGCCGAGTACTTTTCAATCCACCCTCGTAGTTTCAAAGCTACGTCGTCGTGTTTAGATAGCGGTTACACTTTTTTCGACGCGCGGTAACGGGGTTTGCTCCTCTAGTGTTGTATAACTCAATGGGTAAAACAAAGAGAGTTTATCGCAAGAACGCTCCTCGAGTGTGGTACGTTCCACTTTGAGGTTATATTTTTACTTACTTTTACGGTACTTTTTTTGTTGGAGGTTGCCTAATAGGCTGGATTTTTACTAATTTAAACATTAGCAAAACTGATTATTTATATGTTTCTGCGTGAAACTCTAAATGGAAATATCACGACCGAGTCGAAAAATAATGTACAGAGTAGTGCAAGCACAGAGACCGCAAAGAATGTCATAATGTCATAGTCAATGCATTGCCCGAAAGTATGGGGTAAGTACATAATTAAGAAAACCGACATACTATGGGTATTAAGTGATTGACCGGTCGAAGTAGTCTTGTGAGAATTTACACACACACAGTACCTACCCCTACTATTCGAAAACAGGGACTTAATTTAATTTTTTCTTTATTATTTATGCAATTTGCATTACGGCATCTTGTAAAACTCAAAAGAACAAACTGTTTACAATTCAGTTACGTGAAGTATTTTACGTACGATGCGCCAATTCAGAAAAAAAATCGATATCAATTCAATCATTTTCCTTTACAGAAGCTTATAATCTATACTAATATTATAAAAAAGAAAGATTATTATTTTTGTATGTTTGTATCGAATAAAGTACAGAATTTATAATCTGTAGGCACTAATATTATAAATAAAAAAGATTTAATTAAGAAGTAAACAATGCTCTCTCTGTTATTCATTACTCTATGATGTTCGGATAGGATGTACGGCTATGATGTTCGAAATACAGCGCGCCATAGATATATACTAGAGAGGTATATATAGGTACTAGAGAACGCACGGTTCGCCACGAAACATGCAAGGTCATTAGCTTCGTATTCGGCCTTAACTCACACCTAAGATGCTATCCCTTATCCACAATAAGTGTAAAGTTTAATATATATATATATGCTGGTTTCCACTCACTAGCCAGATCTTCTAAATATTGTCCTTAGTGTATGTAAATGTATTTTAAGAATGACAATTTACCTCAACTGTATCATTGGTTTGTGCTTCATTGACGTTTGCGCTGATTTCTTCGGCCGCTGTTTCAGCCTCAGGCTCTATTTCCTCAGTCAGATTTTCAAGGAAGCCTGCTAAGGTGTCAACTGCAAAGTTAGCCTTATGATAAAAACTTTGCACATCATTCGGATCTTTACTCACATCTTAGTGCTACATGCATTTAACTTTCAGTCTGTATATCATGAATTTACTGTTAAAATTCCTTGTTTCTTGTCACTTTTTCTGTTATTATTATTGAGTTATGTTGACTACAAGTAAGCAATTAAAGGTACAGATTATTCTATTATATTGATAACTCTATTCTAGTGTAGCTTATTATCTTGGGTATACTTAAATACTTACTGTTAGCATTTTCAGCTCCGGCGTCTGGAACATCCCTTGGTGCGGACGACGAACGAGGTCTTTGCGGCTGATTATCGTTATCTGAATCAAAACATGCCAGCTTTATTCGTTGTATTTATTTGTGATGGATATTTTATATCATTGAAGCATCCAATAGGAACAAAATTATTACAGGTAATTTAGAATTTTATTACACAACAGTTATAAACAGACTTAGTAAAACTGATTTCGTAGTAATAATGTTATAAATTTTAAACAATATTATTGATTCAACGAAAACATTAATTTTATTCTTATTAGAATAATTGTTATAATAAAAATATGCCCCACAAGTGTAAATATGTGGCACCGTCAAAATTTCCTCCAGATCAAATTTTTGTCAACAAACACCGATCTACCTACTAACGATTATCATAAAATGACACATAGAAGACGTAAACAAATAGACGCAGATTTCGTGTCGTCTTCTCAGCTGACAGAATTCAAAACTGAAATTATGGAATTCTTCAATAATTTTGGGAACTCACAGAAGAAAGAATTTAAAAGTTTGAAAGATGAAGTGTCACAAATTAAAGGAGTAAATGACGACGTCACGATTATAAGGGAACAGCTGAAATCTATAAAAATCAGTACTGTGAAAATCATTCGCGAGCATAGTGAAATGATGAATTATATTTCCGAATTGAAAAACTCATTAAATTATCATTCAGCTGAACAAACCACTCTGACAACACGTATTGATGATGTGGTATCGGAGATCAAAAAGGTTGATCTATTGCAGCAAAATATATCGGTTTTACAAGAAAAATATGAATCTCTGCGAAATGAATACAATTTCATGCAGCAACGTGATCGCGCCATGAATATTGAGATCTTTCAGATCCCCGAAAAAAGAATGAAATTGTCTCCGATTACGTTAGTGCAATAGGTAAAATACACGGGAATAGTTATATCTGCCGAGGACTTAATTTAGGCTCATCGTATTAAATCACGTGACAGCGACAATTAATCACCAAAAAATATTGTGGTTCAACTAAAACCAATCCTCTTGAGAGACAGCATCATCTCTGCTGTACGTAAGAAGGGTTTAACTACAACCGACATAGGAATCCCGGGAGAGTCGCGAAATATTTATGTAATGAACACCTTACACCTGCTAATAAAATGCTGCTAAAACAAACCAAAGTCGCCGCTAAATGTGCAAATCCTAAATATGAATACGTGTGGGTTCGTAACTGTAAAATTTATGTAAGGAAAGACGATAATTCCCCTAAAATTCACATAAAAAACGCTTTAAATTTAAATAAAATTAAATGACTGTGTTACTTTAAGTTACGACTATTGTTATTTATCTTAAACGGTGTACTCGTATTGTTCTATAATAGTGTGGCTGAATGTTTTTTAAAATCAAGTAATGTTATTACATATTTATATATATACAAACATTTTTAAAAGACTATTTTATATATTATAGACTTATTATTTTATACACACTATACACTTTATTCTTTATACTATATTGTTTTTTTATACTTAGTATATACTCGTACATACATATTATGCACCTTTTGTCGATCTGTGTGGGTAACTCCTCATTTAATATCGGATTCATGGTTACAAAACAATCATTAATCACCTTGGCCCGCTATTCTACAATGCGTACATCTTTGACATTACCAGCTGCTTTTCTTATTCTAATCACCTATTATATGCAGATGATAAAAAAATATATCAGGCAGTTAATTCTGTTGAAGATTGTAGATTGTTACAATACGACTGTTTTCTTATTATCAACAAAACAAGATCTTCGTCAATATTAAAAAATGTCAGAGTATAAGCTTTACGCGCAAGAAAAATCCAATTGTCTTTCCTTATAACTTTAATAATCAAGTATTAACGCGAGTCAATGATGTACGCGATCTCGGCATTTGTTTTGACTCCAAGATGCTCCTCAATATGCATTATGATAATATAGTAGATAGAGCTTACCGTATGCTTGGATTTGTTCTAAGAACCTGTCAACCGTTTAAAGGTACTTTAGCATTGAAAACGTTATATTTTGCATACGTGAGAAGCATATTGGAGTACGCTAGTCCTATATGGTCGTTTTCATATGAAGTTTATAAGGCACGCTTAGAGCGTATTCAGAAAAAGTTTTTAAAATCTCTAAATTTCAGATGCGACGGCACTGCACACACATTTTTGTCTTATAGTGATAATTGTCGTAAATTTAATCTTCTCACGTTAGCGGAACGCCGTGAGATCTTAGACATGGGTTTTTTTGTTCGATATTTTACTCTCTCAACTTGATTGCCCTGCTCTGCTTTCACAAATATCCTTTAAAGTGCCCCGATGTAGGACTAGACATACACCTTTATTTGGATTTCCCTTACATCATACTAATTATGGCAAGAATTGTGTCCTCACCAGAATGGTTAGAATTTTTAATAGTAAATTTTCTCATATTGACCCATTTATCCATTCAAAAAATTTATTTAAGCGAAAGGTAGTACAAACTTTGACAGGACTAGACAATTAACCCTTATTGTTTATGTTGATAGCCTCTGTAGTTTTGTAAATCCGTAGTAACATCTCCAGCTATATGTCTTCAATTCGCTAATTGACACAAAAATAATTTAATATAATGTATGTATGTGAATGTGTACATGAGTATATTGTATGTATGTATATTTATTTAAATGTTAGTATATGTGTATATGTGCTTACCTACATATGTTAATATTATCCCATCGAAGCATAAATAATTTTCTAGGTCAGCCATGACAAACATTTTAAATTAAGTATTGTTTTTGATTAAAGGTTTTGTAATTTTTTTTGGTTTCGGTGGATGCCGCCACCGAAGTATGTGGTGTAAGTAAGAGAACAAATGAAAGGAAAAGTAATACGTTGTGGTGGGATGATGAGGTACGGGTGGAAGTTGAATCAAAGAAGAAAGCATGGTTAGATTTACTAGCAACCAAAGCTGGTAATTCTTCTGGTATGAATGATGAGATTGAAAGAAAAAAGGCAGAATTTAGACGTCTAAATAAGAGAGTAAAAGAAGTTGTTGAAAGGAAAAAGAAAGAAAGAACGGATAAGAATGATAGAAGGATATCTGATAATTTCCAGGCTAACATAAAAGTGTTCTGGAAACTCGTAGGAACTGCCAGGAGAAATACAAAACAGCCTCTAATGAATGCTATAAGAGACGAGAATGAATGTATTCTGAATGATGAAGCTTCGAATTTAAACAGATGGAAAGAATACTTTGAAAGCGTGTTTATGAGTGAAGAGTCGTCTGAATTAAATGAACTAGAAATTCCGAAAGAAGTGGAAAGGGGTATGGAGATAAGTGTAGATGAAATAATGAAAGCAATGAAAAGCATGAAAGCAGGTAAGGCAGCTGGATATGATAGAGTATCACTCGAGATGCTAAGGGCTGTAGAGGGAGTGGTGGCAGGCCTGCTGTACACCTTGTTTAATTTATGTTGGGAATTAAAACGGGTACCGGATGACTGGTGTAAAGCAGTTATAGTACCAATATATAAAGGAAAAGGGTCACAGCAGGACTGCAAAAACTACCGTGGAATCAGCTTGCTTAGTATTGTGGGTAAACTGTATGCTAAGGTGTTAATTGAAAGAGTTATGAAAGAAACTGATGGAAAAATTTGGGATGTGCAAGCGGGTTTTAGAAAGGGAATGGGGTGTACAGATCAAGTCTTTTCCATGCGCATGATTGCGGAGAAGTTTTTGGCCAAAAACCAGAAAGTTTTTTGTGCGTTAATGGACTTGGAAAAGGCTTATGACAGAGAGGACAGGAATGTGTTATGGCAAACACTGAACTCATATGGGTTGAGCGCTGGTTTGATACAGGCATTAAGGTCTCTTTATAGGGACTCTAGTGCTTGTGTCAGGATCAATGGGGTCTACTCGGACTGGTTTGGCATCCAAAAAGGTGTCAGACAGGGCTGTGTAGCTTCCCCTTGGCTGTTCAACCTATTTATGGACAGGTGTTTGCAAACTTTGAAAGATGAAGAATGTGGGTTAAGAATGGGCGAGTTAACCGTCAAATGCCTTTTGTATGCCGATGATCAAGTCATATTTGCGTCATCGGCGGCTGAGTTGCAAATGATGGTTACATTAATGAACTGGGAATTAAAAGAAAGGGAATGAAAGTGAACGCAAGTAAGACGAAAGTGATAGTTTTTGAAAGAGAAGAAAGCAAAACGGTATGTGAAATAAGAATAGAAGGAGAGTTAATTGAACAAGTGGATGAGTTTGTGTATTAGGGATGTGTATTTAGCATGGATGGTAGATATGATAGGGATATAGAACAACGAGTAAATGCAGGGAACAGAGTGAATGGGGCACTACACTCTATTGTGAAGAACCAGAATGTGTCAAAAAAGGCACGTATGGTAATTCATAATGCTGTGTTAGTCCCTACTTTAATGTATGGTAGTGAAAGCTGGGTGTGGCATAGGAAGCACGAAAGTAGAATAAATGCTGTAGAAATGCGGTCTTTAAGGAGTATGCTAGGGTTGAATCTGAATGACAGGGTGAGAAATTGCGTGATAAGAGATAAATGTGGTATGCAAGATGATGTTGTGACCAGGATTAAGAAAGGAATTCTTCGGTGGTTTGGTCATGTAGAAAGAATGAATGAGGAAAGAGTGACAAAGAAAATTTATATGGCACATGTGAACGGCCGAGTCGGGAAGGGACGCCCTAGAAAAAAGTTTATCGACCAAATTGGCGATATTTTGAAAAAGGGGCCACGTTAGAAGTACCCTTAACCGAAGAGCATGTATGCGTAGATATATGGATGTAAAGGAGTCGAAAGAGGTATGTCAGGATCGTGCCAAATGGAAGTCCGTAGTCTCTGCCTACCCCCCTGGGTGACAGGCGTGAGTGTTTATGTATATTATTATGTATTTTTTTTTTCACCTTTTCATACTTCTGATTTGTGGTAAATTGTGAAAAGTGGATGACTATTATTGGCCCTATGTAAAACATATTATATAAGATTTTTTTCACAGAGTGAAGACTGTTGTTATCCCTAATAAATAAATAAATACGTGTAATAATAACAAATATACAACTGCTCGATTGCACCACGAGGCAAATTTAACAAATGATTATACGAGCCAACGCCAAAAGCTCACAAAACTTATATTGTTTCAAGGCAATTAAATTTTAATTTGTATTGAATTATTAAGAATGTGTAATAACTTGCAATATATTAAATTGCAACGAGACTTTTATTTCACTTCTTTTATTTATTTAATGACAAGGCAGTAGGTATATTATTTTGTAGTAAGTTCAAAAGTTGTGTCACTTCTGCGTTGTAAAATCTATAGAATCGACTTGTTGTACACTACGTCAGGCCTCTATCACTCTTGCTACCTACGTGAAATAATTACCTAAAATCGCAACGCGCCCGGGCGAAATAACGCAGTCAGGGCTAGCGCGTTGGATGCGATTGAATGTCAAAGTTTTTTAACGCTGTTTACGTATATAACTTTTTATAAATATGGTTGAAATAGTTTTTGTTTAGTATATTCAATTATAGGATAAAATAGTTCAAAAGTTTTAATATAATTTAAGAACTATATATTATGTACATTACCCATTATTTAATAAATTTTAATATGGCAAAACGTCGTTCCTACTATAATTGTTTCGTGGATAGAAGCTAAACGACCAACAAAATATTTCAGATATATCATTCTTTATTACCGAAGAATTTTAGTAGGAATTATGAAACGTGAATTTATTTAATTTTTATTGTTAAATAGGTACATATAGCAAAAAAGAATTAAGTAATAATTTATTTAATATCTACGAACTTTATTACAAAATTTAGTGGAAATTTACTTCACTATCAAAGTATCTACTTACGTACATATACTTGCCTTTTGTATTAAAATATTTGAAGCTGTTATTTTAGCTTAAATATTTTAAGCTACAAAACACAAAACACTGAAATCAAAACTTTATTTACCAACAAAATTTTTAATTAAGTTGAATACGATTACATTTCTGTTACGAATCGTATTTCAAGTTTATTTGTTGTTTACAGTATCTACCTTTTCCTTCCGAACCAAGCGTCGCGATTGCCGACGAATGGCCTTGCAAGTTGCATGCGTTAGGCATCGCAGAACTCACGTAGGTCGCCTGTCGCTCCGCAGGAACCAAGCTTACGCGCCGATAGTTTAGGTAATTTCTTTTTACAGTGAAAATAATGATATTTTAAAAAAGTAAATAACATAAGCACTGCTTTATGGTTAGTTCAGTTAGTATGCAAAGTTTCATGATCTTATTTAAAGTATTTTATGAATAACAGCGGTTTATTGTTCAGTTTGGAGGTAACTTTGGATTTTTTTTCTATCGAGAAAATTTTACGGAATCGTGTTTTCGTCTAACATAAACCTTAACATTAATCCTCAACTTTACCATATATTTATTTCAAAATTAATGCTGCAATACTTTCGGCATAACGGAGGATCTTGCTAAGCGATTTGAGGTTATATTTCCCCTTAATAACAGATATTAGCGCAACCCGCAATTCGAATCCAGGACTACGTGGTTAGTAGTCACGCTAACCAACACTAGACCAAAGAGTTAGCTACCAACAGAAAAACATCACTGTGGCCGTGGGAACGTAACATATAAAACATAAACACTCACACCTGTCACCCAGAGGGGTAGGCAGCAACTACAGACTTCCATTTGGCACGATCCTGACACACCTCTCTGGCCTCCTTCACATCCATATACCTACGCATATACGCTCGTCGGTTAAGGGTACTCCTAATTTAGCCAGTTTTCAATACATCGCTAATTTGGTCGATAAATTTTCGCCTAGGACGTCCTTTTCCGACTCTGCCATTTTTATGTTGCAGAAGTCAACATAAATTTTCTTTGTCACTCTTTCCACATGACGGAACCACCGAAGCATTCCTTTCTTAATCCTGGTCACATCATCTTGCAAACCAACCCTTCTCTTATCACACAATCTCTCACCTTGTCACTCAGATTCAGTCCTAACATACTCCTTAACGACCGCATTTCTACTGCATTTATTCTACTCTCGTGCCTCTTCTGCCACACCCAACTTTCACTACCATACGTTAAAGTAGGGACACCACATTGTAAATTGCTATACGTGCCTTTTTTGACACATTTTAACTCTGCACAATAGCGTGTAGGGCCCCATTTACTCTATTAACACTGCTGTAGCATTATGCTGAGTACAGATGCCTTTTCGTTGATGCAAGCTAATATAATTAATATATTTATAATATACTATTGTTTATATTCTAATTTGTAGTTTATGTTGTGATATAATAATGTAAAAATCAATACATTCATTTAATCAAATGTGTCGGTTGTTTAACATGTATTCCAATAGAATTCATGTAAGCATAGAATAAAAAAAACAGCACATTTAAGCACTTCTTGATCTTACCAGTATCTGAGTGGTTAAGGTCCACAGTGAGCTGTGGTGCGTTGTTGTTGGCTGGCAAGTGGCTGGTGGGCGGAGGAGTGGGGTCACGTGTGCGGCTGGTGGAAGGCTGTGGCTCCTCAGTCGAACTGCCGCTGTCTAGCACCGCTGGAATTACTGAAGGTATATTTGGGTTATTATACATTTGTTATAATCATAGTATTCGGATTTATATAAAAAAATCATTAATATTAACATTAAATGCAAAAAGCTGTATGGGGGCTAGAACACTGTTGTAATGAATTGCCTGAAGAGTTACAGATTCTAAGCAATCAATAAGAGCCAGATCAGGCAATTAGAATAAGACATTGGGCATATATAATATTAAATTACGATCAGCAGGTTTACTTCCGAATTTGATTTGATTTTCAATTCATATTCGGGAGTTTCAAATCTGATTTGAGTCCACAATCTAAGAAGAACATGCAGTCAGTCATCGTGTTTGATGTTGTCGAAAAAGCCGACATCGTCTAGACTTTCGTCGTGACGATTAAATTGATAGGGTTGTCACAACGAGTAGTAACAAAAAATAATAAATAGTTTTTTTTTTAATTCCACATGTAAAATAAAATAACAAATGAAATAACATAATCAGACAGGTTTTGTTCAGTAATAAAAAATAGGTTATAATAAGCAGTTACAAAAAACTTATTATGAAAAATAGTCAACTGTCGAATACAATATATGCCAGTTTATAAGTTAATAATGTATCTTTGAGTAACAACAATTTACTTAATACAACTTTTTTTTATTTGAATACATGTTGAAATGTAACTTGGGGCTTTTAATTTGCATACACACAAGTTGCATAATCAAAGATGGCATAAATACAAAAGAACCTCATTAAGGTTATCGTCGAAATAAGTTAATTTTGCCTATTTATCCATTTTGTGGGAAGACGGATTTTTCTAAATGTATAAATTCAATACCGGCCTTGTTTTGATGGATGTTAGTTTTTTTTCAGCTATCGTATTATCTGTAAGCATTCTTTTAAGTGGTATAAGTTATTTATACGTTTATAACCTAACTCAACCACCCTACAGAAATAAAAAAATTTTTACAAATGTGGAACTGATTGATATTTACATTACATTTTAATTTATTTGCAACGTGACAGCTCAGCCCTGCCGGACAGCGATCCCAGGCGTTGCCCAAATCTCGCCCCGCACCGCAACGAACAATTGCCCCGTTTAGACACCTTCGATGACCGACTGTTAGTAATAGTTAGACGTTCGAGTTACGATCAAACATTGACAGCGGCGTTAGGCACACTGGATATTTTTTTATCCGAAAATCATGTGTAGGAAATTAAAAGTTCACTCCTGAAATATTTTTATAACATAAAATAGGACAAAATAGGGAAATAGCAAAATAGGGAATTTTACCGCAATAAGGTGAGGATTTTTTCCCCCGAATTTACCTCAAAAGTATCATTCCTCATAATTATAGTGATTCACAAGTCCAATGCTGAACATAGGCCTCCCCCAGGGAATGCCACAAAGTACGGCCCTGAGCCACCACCACCTAACGGCTTCCTGAATGTCTAACCAGTTCGTCAGTCCATCTACTGCGACGACACCCTACACTTCACCAGCCGGTACGAAGCTGCCACTCGAGAACCTTTATTCCCCATCGGTTATCGGTTCTTCGAGCCATACGGCCGGCCCAATGCCATTTCAGCTTTCTAATCCGTTGGGCTACGTCGGTTACTCTGGTTCTACTGCGGATATTCTCGTTTATAACTCTCGAAGTTTATCACGCGGAGAAAGCCCGAGCATAGCCCTCTTCATAGCTCGCTGAACGACCTTGAGCTTACTCACACGACCAGCAGTGAAGGACCACGTCTCAGATCCATAGATCATTACTGGCAACGCACACTGGTTGTACAATCTTGTTTTAGGGTTTTGAGATATTCCTGATGTGTCGCAATCTCCTGAGCACTGCCCAGCCGAGTTGAATTCGTCGATTGACCTCTCGGTCGAAGTTGGACTTATCTAGTCAACAACTTCGAGTTTAGTACTCTCTTCAACCATCGGTATACATGTGACACGGACGTTACATATTACTTTGTTTTGTCCATGTTCATCTTAAGACCTATCCGTTGAGACAATACAGAGGTTATTGAGAATAGTGCTTAGGTCCTTCAGCGATTCTGATATAAAGACTAAATCGTCAGCAAATTGAAGGTGAGTGATGTACTCACTCTGATGTACAGAAGGAAAATTTGTCTGTAGTACTTCAAGAGAGCGTTTCTTGAAGAACAAGACCGCCGCACTTCTGCTCCACGCCTCCGGAGTGATCACAGAAATCGTAATAATAAGACAATAGAAATGAATTAGCGCTCGATAATTTCCAAAACCGATGTCGCCACATCTTGCCGTATTATAAACATACGCAATGCACAATGATATCTAATTTTTCACATTACATTGCTTGGCGAGTTTGTCAACGTCGCGTGTATCGCGTATTATGGTAGAATAAAAGCAGCAATGGTAATTGTACAATAGGAAAAGTAATAAATAAGTTTACAAAGGTAAATATTATAGTAAAGTATTCATCTAGATGTAAATTAGTTAAAACAATGATAATTAGTAAATAATCAACTTACCGATGAAATGTTATGCCTTTATTAGTTTAATTACACGTCCTTGATGAGTTTTTACGACTGATTATGCTGCAGTTCACCATTATAAATTTATAATAACAAATTCATGTACGACGTTCCCCGCACAAGTAAATCATAAAACGGTGAATTACACGTCAACACATAATAGCGGCGACAAGGTCACACGTCTATGCGACTATTTTTCTATTGTCTTATTATTACTATTCCTGTGGGAGTAATGCAACCATGAAGAAGCTTATAAAGGACTTCAATTACTGGTTTTCCACCCGCTTTCAGAAGCTCCGCTATAATTCCATCCTTGCCCGAGGCCTTGCCGTTTTTAAGGTGCTGGAGAGCCATTCTAATCTCACTCAGACTGACAACCAAGATATCATCAAAATAGTGCCGCTCTTGAATTGTTACTCACACTTGTGTGTCGGTTCTAATCTTCGACAGTTGACTCTTTCTAGCAGACAGATCTATGGGAAAGACTTTGGAGCCTTGGTTCTTTTCGATCGCTTCTTCAATACGAGATGTACTGAAGTTGGGTAAGTTCAAATGCATGCATTGGGAGATCTGCCTATTCAGTTGCCTGTATGCTGTCTTATCATTCATATCGTTCTCGCTATTGCAGTCTTCTAGGCACAAAACGGTTTTGTAACTCGAGCTGAAAGTTTTCGGAGCTTTAGATTAGAGAATAATGGGGACAGAGTGTTGACTTCATTAGACGTGACCTGTCCAACTTAAGGTTTAGGTTTAGGTTCAGTAAGCCTCCCAACATTCGGTAATTGCTGCCAATTTTCACCCTCGCGATCACTGAGATATTACTGAACAGTTGTTGTCTAGTCATCATAATGAAGTCGATCTCATTTTTTTTCTAACCGTCTGGGCTTGACCAGGTCCACTTTTTGCGAGGCCGCTTCTGGAAGAAAGAGTTCATCATAAAGAATCCCTTTTTCTCCATTAAGTCGGTCAGTTGCTGGCTCCTTGGGTTCCGTTACCCTATCCCGAATTTCCCTACTTTCAGCTCACCTTTCCCTCTTGTGCCTAATTTTGCGTTGAAGTCTCCCAATAACACCGTATAGTGGGTTTTGAAGGAATGCATGGCTCTAGAGATATCCTCATACATACGTTCTTGCGTTAAGTTGTATGATATTCAGCGAATATCGTTTGGTGATTCTGAGTATAAGGTACGTGACCCTCGTCGACACACTCTCAATCTTTGATGAACATTGTTAACGAGAGACTTGTGGACGATAAATTCAACACCTCCTTGGAACTGACGGTCGCCTTTCAGGTGATAGAACAAGTTGCCGGAGTCGAGGATTACAGTGTCCTCACCCTATATATCGCCAGATCTAACTTTCGCTATTGGGGTTATATTACCATAGTTGCCACGCTTGGCAAGCGGGTTGGCCACCGCAGTTTTTTTATTGTTGTTTTGCTATTATCAGAAAGTTGCTGCTGCCCATCTCCTGTATCAGTTTCCATTCAAGTATAACCCATGTAATTAATAAAAGAATAATTTAAATTTAATACAAGAATTAAAATAATTTATATCAGAGATATACGTAACATACATACATGCAAGAAAAATATATACAGTCGAATTGTAAACCTGCTCCTTTTTTGAAGTCGGTTAGAAACTATTCCTGTCGCTTGCGATTACAAACGTCGTCTAGCATCGGGTACAAAGACTTTCGTCATCATAATAACGATTTTAACAATAATTTGACTAAGCTCAAACAACAGTTTCGGGAAAACGTAATTGACTTTGTTTAAATAAAACTAAATTCAGAAGTCGAACTTGTCGGGAGTAGGCCCGCTTGTTTGTATGAGCCCACTTTGTACACTACAAGAGCTTTTTCACAATTAGATAATTATATTAACATATATACATATTTGGTTTATACTTGAATGTAACACATGTGTCTCTTTTATAGCTTTAATAACATAGTAATTGAGAAAAACCCCTAATTGTGAAACTTTCTTTTTAAGTAGATAAAAAATAACAAATAACATTCAAATTCTATTTGTACCATTTGTATGACCCTCAACAAATACTTGTTACGAATCAGACTTGTGTCCGTGTGAAATTTATGTACATAAAACACTCCGCGGAAGAAGCAAACTGTCTAGTGTAGTAGAAATAACATTGTTAAACAAATGAAGTCTGATATAAAAGAGAAATGCGTACTGCTCGCCCTACTGTACACAGGCAACGACATGCGCGCGGGATCCGCCCTCTTAATCCTGCTGATGTTCGCCGTCAAGTCCATCGGCGTAGTCGGAAACTTCGCATTATCTGGATAGATGGAAAGCAAATTTATATTACATAATTATATGGTTTTTATGAGCTGTAATCTCGAAAACTACAAAAACAAACCTTTTAAAATATAAAAAAAATACAAAGATTCACTTGAAAATATCATTATTTTATTTCGTTTACTTTATCTCGCCATCAATATAAAAACTGGTATACGACAGCAGGATTAGAAAACGGTGCCAAAGATACAAAATCAGCCTAAATACATAACGAGCAGCTCATAAAAATGTTTAATATCTGTACTCTACTAAAACAATTAATCGGGATTCTGTTGATTGATAAAAGTTAGTTTTACTTTACCTTTATGTTTAATTATAGCAACAAGCACCTTCTTACTAGATAGAGTGACAACCTGGTGAGGCATGCAAAAAGTAAATGTATGCAGATTGCTGAGTACCGTATTTTGTGATATTCCTTGGAGGAACCCTTTGTGCAGCTGTGTTTGTGAAAAGCTATAATAATGATGTCGATGATAGCAAAAGACCGTGCGTAAGCATATTAGAATATCATCAACCAAAGACGATGTAAATAAAAACTTCAAACTGACCGTGGCGGTAAGCGTTTAGTCCGCGGTTCAGTTTCCGAAATGAGAGGATTCGCTTCATGTCCACTGCTGGGAAAGGTCGAATACATCTTTCTTGAACTTCTTCAGGTGGCGAATCGAGAACAGACCTCCTATAACAAAAAAAATATTAGATAGATTCTTAATTCGACTTGCTTTAAACTTATTTCACTTAGACTATTTTCTTTGTAGTCGGTGCTAAAAGTTAAGGACATTGAGAAGAAAAATTATGTATTTCCATTGAGGTATTACTACTACGTATAGAGAAGACAACGCCTTGCATGATTTTGCGCCACGCTTTGCGGTATACTGTACCGCAACTGTTTAGTGAGTGTCCAGTGCCCGCACAGACGAGTCGTGTTCGCTTCGCATAAATAACAACTTCAAATGCCTGGTTGTGTTCTTAAAGACTGAATTAACACTCCAGAACATCAAAAAAAAGTGATGGTTTAACATTTCATCGGTAAGTAGACATTAAAACGTTTAAAACTCTTTGATTTAAAGTTTTTCGCGTTGTTACAATGCTCACGAGAATCGACTGCCGCCTTGTCCCCTTGTTATAAACGATACGCGTAAGCGCCATGAAATTCCTGGCGCTTATGACGTTTTGGTCGCGAGAAAACTAACCCCTAATGCAAACTAGCGCTGCATGTTTTAATAGTTTGGTTAGACGACGTAACTATTATTTTGGCGCCGCAGTGAACTTTAGTTCTAACTCTTACCAAAATGAAGCTAACTTTTGGTTCGGGGTGTCTGGTCTATACGCTAGTAATATAGTTCGATGTGTATTTCAGGTACTTGAAGTTTGTCAACACGCTCTGAAGTTTTTTCATTCTATATTCTCAATAATGAACGGCATGTCACGCAGTAGAGGTATTTAAAGATTCTTATTCTTATCGAGTGTTCATATTTTACGTCAGGCTATTTGTGATAGTTATTCGCCCTCTTATTCCTTAGTTGAGACTTATAACACACATGGTATAAGATTATTGATCATCATGATGATAAAATTGAGGAGTGTTTGTTGTATTTTTCAATCTTATAGGTCCAATTATCAAAATTATGCATAAATATAGGAAATAAAATTAGTTGAATAAACAACAACCAATGACATAATAATAATATAGTAAGGGTGACGAATCAGCACACAGTCAACGTCATGGTAAGTGGATGGAAGTGGTTTAGGCCATCTATCCTCGGTTTAGAATCAAAATGCAGATGCATTGTCACCCCTGAGGACTCAATAAAAAGTAATAAAAAGGATCTCCAGTTCTCTACACTTACTATACAGAACACAGCAGCATTAAGCTAGTATTTTACGGTGGTTCTTTGTGAGAGCGTAGCCCATTCTCCAGAAGAGCTAATCCATTTGTGCTACAAGCACAATATAGCTGTGGCATGGCTATACCATGCAAAAATGTTGTCTTTGAACTCTCAGCATTTCAGCATAAAAATAAATTAGTCTGTGTGGAAGGAAAGGGAGATCTCAAAGAGATGTTTTTGTTGGGATATAAATTTGAAGTCCATCCACAACACTTAAAAGTTAAAATGTTTAATACACATACGAGCAGTCTGAAAAAAGTTTTTTCTTGGCTTTCGTGTCCAGAGTTTACACCAGAATGCAGTCACAGTAGAAGACAAAACGGGATGAATAAGATAATTCAGAAAAACACAATTAAATATAATTTACGAGGAATAAAATCGTAGTGTGAACAATGGAACGGCAACAGCAAACATCGCGAGTTTCGCTTCGTTTTGGATAATATACCGGTGAGAAATGTAAGCGAGCTGCACGGACGCAGAAATTATTTTACCACTTGGCTGATTCTTATATGCAATGCGTCATATTATGCTGTGAAAGTACTGAATAAATACGTAAGTATGTATATGCGTATCTATTCGTACCAGAAATTCATTAGTCAGTCAACAGAATGCACCATGTTTAAAGCAGCAACACAATCATACGTATGCGCACACACATTGCATATGTAACCGGTCTGCTTAGCTTTTTAGGCAACCGATATTAATAACGACTAAATTAAAAGGAAATAAGATTGAGAGTTTCTAATTATCATATTTACTGAGGCGCTCCACAAGTCGGTATTCTACTTGGATTGTTTAACATGGACCAGAACTGATCTCTTTCCAGTCTTGTTGGGGGTCTTCTAGCTGGCCAAATTGGTGGATCGGGTATGCCTGAAAGAAATTACTAAAGCATTAATGGCCACAATAATCATAAAAATCATACAAATTATTATTTTTAGTAAAAATCAAGGTAGTGAGCATAATATGCCCACTCACATTATTGCCAAACTTAGGACTAACATTTGCAACACCAGGCATTATTTGAGAAGCTGCTTTTTGCATTTGCTGCTTGTCTTTATGAATTATTTCTGGCATGCTCGAAATGTTTATTCCACCATGTATTGGAAATTTAAACAAGTGTTTTGAGGGACCTTTTTGCTGGTCCCGCCCCAATCACCTTACCAACAATATATGAAATGCCGCCAGCATAAAACAATTAGTCCACAAGTACAAACATATACATACATAAGCACTCACGCCTGTCACCCAGAGGGGTAGGCAGAGACTACAGACTTCCATTCGGCACGATCCTGACACACTTCTCTCGCCCTTCCACACCCATATACCTACGCATGCATGCACGTCGGTTAAGGGTACTCTTAATTTGGCCCCTTTTCAATATATCGCCAATTTGATTAGCAAACTATCGCCTAGGGCGTCCCTTACCGACTCTGACGTTCACTCCTGCAACATAAATTTGCTTTTTTACTCTTTCGTCATTCATTCCTTCTACATGACCAAACCACAGAGGCATTCCTATCTTAATCTTGGTCACAACATCATCTTGCAAACGACACTCTTCTCTTATTACACAATTTCTCACTCTGTCATTCAGATTCAGTCCTAACATACTCCTTAACAACCGCATTTCTACTGCATATATTCTACTCTTGTGCATCATTTGCCACACCCAACTTTCACTACCATACGTTAAAGTAGGGACCAACACAGCATTATGAATTGCCATACATGCCTTTTTTGACACATTCTGACTCTTCACAATAGAGTGCAGAGCTCCATTTAATCTATTTCCTGCGTTCACTCGTCCTTCTATATCCTTATCAATCTCCAATCCCTGCTAAGCGCATCCCAAATATACAAACTCGTTTTACTTTCTTCTCTTTCAAAAACCATAACTTTCGTCATACTTCCGTTCACTTTAATTCCCATTTCTTTTAACGACCTGTTCATTAATGTAACCATCATTTGCAACTCGGCCACTGACAATGCAAATATAACTTGATCAAAGGCGTACAAAAGGCATTTAACGATTACCTCACTCTCTTAACCCACATTCTTCAACTTTCAAATTTTCCAAACAACAGTCCATAAATAATAGGTTGAACAGCCACGAGGAAGCCACACAACCCTGTCTAACACCTTTATGGATGCCAAACCAGTACGAGTAAACCCCTTTGATCCTAATACAAGCACTGGAGTCCCTATAAAGAGCGCTCACCCCAAATAAGTTCACTGTTTGCCATAACAAATCCCTGTCCACTCTGTCATAAGCCTTTTCCAAGTCATAAACGCACAAAAAAGTTTAACAATTTTTGGTCTTTGCCCAAAAACTTATCCACGATTATGCGCATGGAAAATACCTGATCTGTACACCCCATTCACTAAATCCCGCTTGCACATCCCAAATTTTTCCATCAGTTTCTTTCATGACTCTTTCAATTAGTACCTTAGAATACAGTTTTCCCACAATGCTAAGAAGGCTGCTACCACGGTAGTTTTTCAGTCCTGCTGCGATCCTTTCCCTTTATATATTGGGACTATCACGGCTTTACACCAGTCTTCCAGTACCCGCTTTAGTTCCCAGCATAAATTAAACAAGGTCTCCAGCAGGCCTGCCACCACTTCCTCTCCAGCCCTTAGCATTTCGAGTGAAAGTCTTTCACATCCACTGCCTTACCTGCTTTCATGATTTTCATTGTTTTCATTATTTTATCTATACTTATCTCTCTATATTCTCTTTCCTCTTCTTTCGGAGTTTCCATTTCATTTAATTCACACGTCTCCACACTCATAAACACGCTTTCAAAATATTCCTTCCATCTCTTTATACTTAAAACTTCATCATTCAGAATACAGCCATATCTTCTCAATTCAGCATTCGATCTAAGCCGTTTTGAATTTATATACGAAAAGATCCAAATGTTATATAAATATATAGTCTACAAGTATGTAGATATTGTAATTAAAACTTATATATTGAGTGAAATGAGGAAATTAAAAATTTTGTCCGGATTTAACTGCCAAATATAACCTCAATTGTTACATGCAACAACAGAGACAATTATAAAAAAAACTTAATCAGGAATTCATGGCAATATCAGGGATTGAATGAAATTCGTTTGAAGTCACACATACACACCTCCATACTTATATTATATACTTATCTATAAGAGTTACTTGGTTCTCCATTTGTGTAATCTGTGTGATCAGCTTCATTATTCAGTCTCCTGAAAACATTGCCAGCTGCTTGCAAGTCATTTTCTTCTTCATCTGAAATATAATGGTCAACAGTAATTATTAAATACTTTGATCTTAATTATTATATAAAATAAATAAGGAAAATCTAAAGTCTGATATGCAATTACTATACTATTTAAAAGTTATGTCTTTAATCTTAATTTTAAAACGAAATAATTAATTTTTTTTAAACTTTGAACTTAAAAAGTTGTGCTGTATTCCATTCCCATAATGATGATATGAAATTGTTTCTAGTCCAGTAGCTTCAGAACATAAACCCGTGCAGTGTACTATTTAAGTCGACCAAAATTGGTCTCCAAACAGAATTTCAGTCACAGTTGCCAGTTTCAACAGAGATCAGCAATTCACGCAGGACAAGATTATAGTGCCAGAGTGTATATGTGAGAACAGATGCACTCTCATAGTCACGAAAGACACGCCCGGAAAGAAATTAGTTTTATAGGGGTGGAATACTGCCAATTTCCTGACTCCGGGTTACTGCTGAGAATTTCTTAACAGAAAAACCCAATAACTGATTTTTGTCTGACCCGGGATTCGAACCCGGGACCTCATGCAACCGCATTTACGAGCATTAGAAGAAGTAGTCAGAAAAGTTACAATGTATGTATATGTATGTGGGAAAGAAACAATAAGTACTAAATGAATTTTTAAGATGTTTTTATGTATAGACTTTAATGGTTTATTTTGCAAATCTTGAGTTTCTTATAATTAAATTGTATCATTAGGATATTTAGAATAAAATCTGAGCAATATGTATCAGGTACACTTTTAAGTTTATTTGCATTGATAATTATTAGTTTAATTAATACATATCTATCCAAAATTCATACCATCACCATCATTATCATCATTAAAACCCTTCACACACAAGTCTACTGCTAAATATAGGTCTACCTCAAGGAATGGAGCAGTAGATGTAATTGTCTCACCAATATGTATAAAGTAGACTTTTAAGTTTATTTTCATTGATAATTATTAGTTTAACTAATGCATATCTATCCAAAATTCATATCATCACCATCATTATCATCATTAAAACCCTTCACACACAAGTCTACTGCTAAATATATGGTCTACCTCAAGGAATGGAGCAGTAGATGTAATTGTCTCACCGATATGTATAAAGTAGACTTTTAAGTTTATTTTCATTGATTAGTTTAATTAATGCATATCTATCCAAAATTCATATCATCACCATCATTATCATCATTAAAACCCTTCACACACAAGTCTACTGCTAAATATAGGTCTACCTCAAGGAATGGAGCAGTAGATGTAATTGTCTCACCATTATGTATAAAGTAGAGTTCTAAGCTTATTTTCATTGATAATTATTAGTTTAACTAATGCATATCTATCCAAAATTCATATCATCACCATCACTATCATCATTAAAACCCTTCACAAGTCTACTGCTAAATATAGGTCTCCCTCAGTGAATGCCACAAAGCACAGTCCTGAGCCACCTGCATCTAACCTATTACCTAATAACCTATTATCTAATTTAACTTCCTATATCTCTTTCCAGGTTGTCCAAAATAACACAATTCTATTTATTTATTTTATAGAAGAGGGGGCAAACGAACATGCGGCTCACCTGATGTTAAGTGACTACCGCCGCCCATGATCAACCGCAACACCAGGGGAATAGCAGGTGCGTTGCCGGCCTTTTAGAAAGGAGTAAGCTCTTTTCTTGAAGGTCCCCAGGTTGTATCGGTCCGGAAAAATCGCCGGTGGTAAACTATTCCACAGAGAGGTCGTACGCGGAAGTAAACTCCTTATGAAACGTACAGTGGTGGACCGCCATGCATCCAGATTGTGTGGGTGGTATCGGGACGTTTGCCGCGTAGTGCGTTCACGAAATTTGGCGGCTGTGTTTAATCCGAACAATTCCTCAGAGCACTCCCCATGGTATATGCGAAAGAAAATGCAAAGAGATGCAAGATCTCTTCGCAGCGCCAGTGAATCGAGCCGATCGGAAAGATTCGGGGGACTCACGCTCTGCGCTGGGTACTGGGAGACCCCAGCCCAGAGATGGGAACAGTATTCCATGTGCGGCCGAACATGCGCCTTGTACAGTTGCAGGCGGTGTGCCGGCATGAAATACTGTCCCGCTCTGCTGAACACGCCAAGACTGTTCAGCAAAGACTCGACTTCAGACACAAGTTTGTCCCGGTACTCCGAGACGTTTTCCCGAGAAATATTGGCACGGCCGGTGTACATAGCATCACCAGTGCTGTCATCTGCATAGCAATGAATGTTACGGGTTTGCAACATATCATTGATATGCAGAAGAAACAGCGTTGGCGATAGCACGCAGCCTTGTGGAACACCAGCATTAATAGGCTTGTAATCGGAGCTTGCACCGTCTACAACGATCTTGATGTTCCGATCTGCAAGAAATCTGGTGATCCAATCGCACAATTTCAAGGGAAGCCCATAGGAAGATAGCTTCGAAAGAAGCGCTTTGTGCCAAACCCGATCGAAGGCCTTCGCAATGTCCAAACTAACGGCCAATGCTCCCCCTTGGACTCTACTGCCTCCGCCCATCTATGAGTTAGGTAGATCAGAAGATCACCAGCTGATAGACCACGGCGAAAACCGTATTGGCGGTCACTAATCAGCTGGTGATCCTCAAGGTACCTCATGACTGGCAGTTAACAATAGACTCTATTGTTTTATAGAACAAGGAGGTGATTGCGATAGGCCGGTACAACTACCGGGTTACGACGGGTCTGAGCGATTGCCTTTTTTAGGGATCGGGTGGGCGAAAGCAGTCTTCCATGATTTTGGGACTACGCCTAGGGAGTAGGAATACCGGAAAAGACGCGTTAAAACCGGTACCTGAAGTACCACATCAGCGACAACTCCGAATCCGCAACAACGTTGGGATCGTCCGGCGAGAAGCAAACCCGCCCCCAAGGGTAGGATGCAAAAAAAGACCGCATCCCATCTCAATCGGCTAACCTATAGTGCCAAACACGGCGGCAGTGTGAGTGGCACCACACTCCGGACAAGACAATGGTCCGAGGAGCCTAAAGGGGCGTCGACAGAAATCTGATATCCATCCGGATGAGAGGTCAGCAAAAGTTCCAACAGGGAAGGTGCATGATCATCCATATCTGGAATCCGCGTAGGCGAAGTAACCAGTTGTGTCAGACCATGAACAGATCTTCCCGCATGATCGGTTAAGCGTGAACAAAGGCATTCGGCGTGATGGGCGTTAAAGTCGCCGAGGATCACGATCCCTGCGGAGGGGATCTGCTGTAGCAACAAATCTGTAGCCATTTGGACGTGGTCGAAGAGTCTGTTTCGGCATTACCGCTATGGGACCCATAGAGGCACCCGTAGACGCGCGGATGGTCGTCGCTGTCTACGCGTAGCCAAAGGATGGACAGGTCCGAACCTTCAAGTCTGCCGAGGCGTCGAGAACAGAATTCCTCTTTGACGTAAACGCAAACTCCAGCGCGAGACACAAAGGAGTGTTCCAGTTTATACTCCGGGTATGAGAGATACGAGACATCAGCCGGAGAGGACACCTGCGTCTCGGTCAGAAAGAGTAGAGCCGGCCTCGTCGTCTGGAGATGGTAGTGGACGGCGTTTAGGTTAGAGTGAAGTCCCCTGTTATTGCAGAAATTCACGGATAGCGTGGCAGGGGTCGCCTTGGTCTTATTGCTCCGTTTGCCCCGAGCAGTTGTAGTCTTGGGCGGAATTTTGCCCCCCCCCCCCCCCCCAGAATACGCGGGGCATCCTGAGCACCCACGCTCAGAAGTGGAGTAACTTGGTCGTAGAATCTCAGCGAAGGATTCGCCAGGGATATAAAATTATTATTATTATAATTAGTGGTATAAAAATTATATCCTACTAAAATTCAAATACAATTATAAAATATAAGATTAATTCCTTAATACCAATATTATATTATATTCCTAAATACCAGCCCTAATTTAAAAGATTAAAAGTTTTATGATATGTACATAAATAACATTAAAATCCAATAAATATCATTAAAATCTAAAAATGTTTTAGATGGTTTACTGCACAAAAAGTAAAGTAGTATTAATTTTGTGTTCTCATGTTATATGCTCGGAGTTTCTCTGCGTAATAGACTCAGAAATGAGGATATTCGCAGTAAAATCAGAGTGACCGACATAGCCCAACGGATCAGTAAGCTGAAGTGGCAATGGGCCGGCCATATAGCTCGAAGAACCGATAACCGATGGGGAAGAAAGGTTCTCGAGTGGCAGCCTCGTACTGGTAGGCGTATTGTAGGGCGACACCCCACTAGATGGAGTGACGACCTGGTAAGATATGCAGGAAGTCGATGGATGCAGGTGGCTCAAGACAGTGCTTTGTGGCATTACTTGGGGGAGGTCTATGTTCAGCAGTGGACTTGTGAAGGGAGTGGAATGATGATGATGATGATGATGATGATGTTACATAGATTGGAATCAGAAATTAATAATTATTTGTTAAATACAGTTTTTTTAATTTATCAACATATATTACAAGAATAATATTCTTAAATGAATGTGATGAAGGTGCTTCAGGGTACATTGCTCATTTATGAAAACTAAGTTTGGGATCTAACTTTACGGACTTGGAAAGAATGTTATGAGATAGACTGGTATGCGGTATGTATGATAATAAACTGCAATACGAGTTATTGAAACAAGACAATTTGCGTTATCAAGATGTGATGTTATCAGCCGAAAGTGCAGGGCGAGATGTTCGTATGATTCAAGGCAACACAGCGGGAGCTATGGCTCAGTCAGAAGTAGCATTACCATACAGTTCAGCAAATGGCACAAATAAACCGATGGATATAAATGCTGTACAATCAAGAGCAAATGTCCGTTTTTGTTATCGTTTTTGTATCGTGACCGCCATTCAGGAGAGTGTCGTTTTGTAAATATAGTGTCGGTATTGCAAGAAAAGTGGACATTTGGAGAAATATTTGCATAAGTAAGAACAAGAATTCTTTGCAGCAGATAAAGTTTATAGCAGAATCTGATGATCATTTAAATGGAGTTTATTGCTTTCACATTAATAGCCGTATTCCACCGTACGAAGTGGAGTTGTCACTTGCAGGCGTACCAATCCATATGCAAGTTGATACAGGAGCTAGCTTTTCTCTCATCAACAAGCAGACATGGCAGATATTAGACTCGCACTTATCAGATGCTGTTGCGTTGCAACCTATTTCAATATCCTTGCAGACCTGGACTGAAACACCAGTCAAATTTCTTGGGCAAATTATGTTGCCTGTATGTTACAAGAATATTTCGAGAGACCAATGTGTTATCATAGCGAAAGGTAATGGGCCCAACCTTTTGGGTCAAGACTGGCTGAAACCTCTCAAAATTACTATGAATGTCAATAATGTTCTACTACTACAATGAAAATGTAATGTTTTATTTTAAACTATAAATATTAAAATAAAATAGAAATATTAATGATTTTAATCACTATGAATTAAGTTAGCAGCTTAATTTTTACATTTCAGATTTAATTGGAATATAATAATTCAATATCATTAACAATGATATACCTCTATTTGGTTTGAATTAATAAATAGGGAGTTCTCATTTTCAAGTCGAAATTAAATGCAATTTATTGCTTCTTATTTAAGACAAATTGTTGTGCTGAGTTATTGGAAATGGATAACGTATTGTTGAGACATAAAGAGGTCTTCAAAGATGCACTTGGTACCTACCATGGACATCCAGTAATAGTACACATTAATCCAGGAGTTGTTCCAAAAATTTTAAAAGCACGTCCTGTACCGTTTGCTATGAAGCAAAGAGTAGAGATGGAAATAGATCATTTGGAAAGGGAAGGAGTTCTACGTCCAACAACTTTTTCAAAGTGGGCTACACCAGTTGTGCCAATAATAAAAAAATCTGATGAGATTCGTTTATGTGGAGATTACCGTAGTACAGTTAATGAAGCAACAGAGTTAGATACTTATCCGATGCCCACAGCAAATGAAGTCTTCGCTACTATAACTGGAGGATGATTTTTCACAACTTTAGATCTAGATGGAGCCTACACACAAGTAGTTGTAGATGATAATATGTCAAGACTTACAACTTTAAACACAAACACAACCGAAAGGGTTTATATACAGTGCATAGATTAGCTTTTGGAGTAAAAGCATGTCCAGGAGTTTGTCAGCGCTTAATGAGTTCTTTACTGGCTGGCATTCCTGGAGTTGCAGTTTTGATAGACAATATAATCATATGTGATTGTACTATGTTAGAAATGCAAAAAAGATTAGATTTAGTACTAGGTCGAATGTAACAGGCAGGACTACGCTTAAACAAAATTAAATGCCAATTTACTATGGAAAAAATTGAATTTTTAGGCTATGTTATCGATTCTGAGGATATACATCCTGCACAAAGTAAAGTCGAATCTATAGTAAATACGCCAGAGCCCAAAAATAAACGAGAACTGCAAGCACTTCTCAGGTTGTACAACTTTTATGAAAGGTTCATACCTCATAAAGCAACAATACTTGAACCATTACATCGATTATTAGATTCTTCACAAACATGGAGATGGTCTGAATGTGAACAAAATTCATTTGACATAGCTAAAAGCTTACTCGCATTTAACTCTAGTTCATTATGATGTAAAGAAGTCAGTCGTTCTTACCTGTGACAGATAGTAAAGAATATGGGGTAGGAGCAGTATTGTCACATGAAATGGTGGATGGTCAAGAAAGGCCAATAGCAATGGCATAGAGAACTCTTCATGCACATGAACGACGTTATTCTCAGTTAGATAAGGAAGCCACATCAATTATGTTTGGCATTAAGAAATTTCACAATTATCTCATCGGTCGACATTTTCAGATAATTACAGACCACAAACTGTTGCTTGGTATTTTTAACCCTAAAAAACCAATTCCAAACATGCTGTCTTCTTGATTAACGAGGAGCACTTGCAAGGAGTTATGTGTGGTGGCCAAATCTTAATGAGGATATAGAGATGCTGGTAAAGGGCAGTCAAAAATGTTTAGAAAATCGGCATAAGCCTCAAAAATCTAGTCATGAATGGATCACACCAACAAAACCATGGTCAAGGATTCATATTGATTTTGCTGGACCATATCATAAAAAATATTTTTTAATCATAGTGGATGCATACTCATGCTGGCCAGAGTTATTTATTTTTAATAACACTACCTTATCAACAGTAATAAGACTTTTAAGAACAACATTTGCAACACATGACTGATGTGAAGTGGTGGTTTCTGATAATGGATCATCATTTGTCTCTAAAGAAATGAGTGTATTCCTAAAAGCTAATAAAATACATCATGTAACAACAGCACCATATCATACATCTACAAATGGGTTGGCGGAGAGAATGGTTCAAACTATTAAAGACAAACTGTGCAAAATGGATGATCTAGCATGGGACACTAAAATACTAAATTTATTGCTTGTTCTTCGAGTTACACCATGCACCGCAACCAATAAGAGCCCATCTGAACTACTAGTGAAGAGATGTTTACGTACTTTTGGATACTATACATCCATATTCAGCAAAAAATTGAAAAACTGAAACACAAATCAGCAACAACATTCAAAGGAAAAACAGGGAAACTAATGTAGCTCAGGAGATTATGTATCGCAACTACAGCAGTACTGGCCCAAGATGGCTTTCAGGAAAATAATTAACAAAAAAGGGCAATCAAATTATGAGATCAGGACCAATAATGGTATAAAATCAATTGACATATGGATCAGTTAATTAAAAAAGGACCTAATATTTAATGTGAGGATTCTGAAATGCAGGAGGGGGCAAGAATGGTTAGAGCCGATGAATCAGTAGAGGATGTATATCCTGAGAATTTAGTTAGTGTCAACAACGAAGAAAATCAGGAAAGCAGTCAAGACTCTCACAGTCTTACTACAAAAAAGCTTTTAAACACTGGGCCAACATGTGTTTAGTTAGACACGGACTTAAATGATAACCACATGTTAAACAATGGTTTCAATTTTGCTACCACTAAACCGTGTTTAACACGTGCCTCTATAGACAATGTTTAACTTTATTCTCCAAGTCACACTGCAATACATGCGTTCAGCATTCGATCATTCGTTTTGTTTTACGCAAATTAATTCGTCTAACTATGTAAAAATTAAATTTTGTTTTGTCTCAAAGTTCGATAATAATGTATCTATATCTTTTGTAAAATTTTCGTGAGTTATTTTATTTATAAACAAAAACAAATAAAATTGCAAATGATAGGCAAACATACAGGCTGATGGGTGAAGCTATCCTTCTCTACAGACGCCACACGTGTAAGCATAGTTTAATTTTGTATGAATCGAACTTGATGACAAGCCCAGTACCGTAATGCACTAGCCACTTGCACTGCTGGATCTATTGTGTTACCACCAGAATCATTCGGGATATCGTCTTTTACAAGATCTAATATTTTTCTAGCAAAAGTTTGCTGAACCCACATTTTTTCTTAAACTTGGCGTTCTCATATTTTTCTAACGGATTAACCCTCACACGAACCGTATTACTTTTTTGGAACATTTCCGCATAGTTATCCATGTTGTCTTCATCGAAGTATTCAACAAAATCAACTATATCCATGTTAAATAAAAATACTGAACTGACAGAAAGATAGGTTAGACACTAGTTAAACAAGGGTTTGCAGCTGTTTAAATTTAAACAATGTCTAAGCTGTGTCTATTCATAAACCACCGTTAAACACTCTTTTGTAGTAACCAATTTGCTAAACACGTGTTGAACAGATGTCTAACTTTTTGTAGTAAGAAAGTAATATAATAATTGAGATTCCAGACTCTAATAAATGTGCAGAGATGTTAGGAATACCATCAACAGCAGAAACTACATATTCAACAAGTAGAAAGATAAGACATAAGTCAAGTTTACATTCCAAAACACCATATGTAAGATGAAGTACTAATAGAGAAAATCTTTATCTTAAATTTATATTTGTATTGTTGTATGTAATTAGACATGATTGATTTCAAAAGCTATGTACCTATCTTTTTAAAATAATTATATTGTTTATGTTACTTACTAATCTGGAAGGTATATCATATTCAAAGATTATTTTATTTGGGGGTACTTGTTTACTTTATTTACTAATAAAGTAAATTTTCTCTTACTTACACCACATACTTCGGTGGCTGCATCCACCAAACCTTCCTTAACAATATCCTACAGAATATTCAAGTCTAAATCATTCATACACAACTCATTCAAACACCTTCTCTTTTCCCTCAGTCTACATTTATACTTTTCTTTCACATTTTCATATTGTAAGTTATCTATTCTTTAAAAAATTTAAAAGATACTTTTAGTTAGACGAAAAATTAGAACTGAAACTTCAAACGCCTTTCCTTTTGCCACGTCCTTTCTGCTTAACAACTTACAATTTATTTTGTTTTAAAAAATCCCTCTAAATTTCATTTAATAAAAATAATGGGTACTACTTTAAATTCGCATTGAACTCTAATACAAATAAGGGCATAATTATAATTAGGTATTAAAAGTTAGAGTGGAAAATATGTCTTTTCGTTTTCACCTTAATTTTTTCATAACTAGCGACTTCATCTGTGTGGAATTCATAATAATATAATAAAAATTAGAAAATAATCTTACAAAACATTAAATCATGGAATTTTATAGTCTCTGACCAGAGGTTTATCAAAAACAAATAAATAGAAACAGGTGTTGTAACTTACCGGAGCTCGACGGGAACTCATAAATACCTAAATATTTTTTAATACTTTCTTTTTTATTACTCATGATCCGGAAAGGCTACTACTTGTAAATAAACAGCAATTAAGTAGAAGTGCTAAATATTTCAATTTCAATTCTCAATTCAAGTCTCTCGCTCGTGTATTCAAGCCATAGATAAATACAGTAATCTTGGAAAATAAGATTTGAAAAATATACAACTGCCAAGCTAGTTCAAGCCAAAGAGAATAGGTATAGCAGTCAGCAGTCATAGATATATAAATGTGTGCAAGCTACAGACCAGGCGAACGATCGCTGTTGAAAATAGTATCCCAGAAATATGGACAAAATAAGTGAGGCGCTGCGATCGCTATTTATTATTGTTATTATTATTTATGAATAAATAAATTATAAATTATGTTTTTTAAAATTTTAATCATTATAAATTATTAAAAATATAAATTATTAATTAATAATGATTTAATACTCTTTTTTTAATAATATTTCACAATTTTATAATGTTTCTTTTTTTCAATAATTAAAAAATTACTTCGCAAATACTAGGTACTTACCGACAGCAGCGCGGCTATATACTACAAATTTTCAGGGACAGACGGGCTATGCTTAATAACCCTATTACACTATCCTGAATCAGTGTCTCTGCGCCCTTAATCAGGGCGGTGTAATAAGACGAAGAGAGTAAAGGTCCCTAACTAGAGCGACAAAGTGCAACCGGTCTGCGGTGCCCTTGCCACCGTGTAGTGTAGCCGTGCGTTTGCACTGACGCGATTTTCACAAAAAACATGTTTTAAACACTGTTTTCTGTCAATATTCTGTCATAGTCAAGGAACATGTTTTAGTGAAATATATTTGACAGTTTATTGTACATTACATATTACCGTGCGTTTGCACTGACGCGATTTTCACAAAAAAACATGTTTTAAACACTGTTTTCTGTCAATGTATCAAAAAGCGTTTGCATAGCCAAGGAACATGTTTTAGTGAAATGTGTTTGACAGTTTATTGTACATTACATATTATAACTATATTATATCTATATATCTGCAGAAACAAAATGTTTGAAAACAAATTTGTAGAAATATTGTTATGTTGAAAGATAAGTTTGACGTTTTGTATCAGAGAATTTTTAACAATAATGGGTTCAAGTGATGAAGAGGTGAATAATGGATTCAAGTGATGAGTGTACTGTACATTTACAACAAAAAAGAAAGAAATCGAGGTTCTGGACGCGCTTGCAATGTGTTTGACAGTGATTCGCAGTGGAATACGGGATAGAGACTAAAAACTGTGCTGCATGACGAATAAAGAAAGTGATACATGAGAAAATTCTATCAATTGCGTAATCACATTAAAACATTAAAAGCCAAAATTGTATTAAGTGTTTAGCTAATGAAAATACAGTAAGAAAATTATCCAAGAAAATAACATCAACATTTGCGCTGTAATTACAAGTTTAAATAGGAAATTGAAAGAAAAAGCAAAACAAAGCCATGTGGCTTTATAAAAGGTCACCCACCTGTTACAGGCTACTCAGGCTCTATTAAAGGGTTAACTGAGTACTTTTTGCTGTTGGAATCAATCAACCAGTTTTTAAGGCCTGGCAGATTTTTTAAATACTATAAAACCATCAGACAATCAATTTATATTGATATTTGATGAAATGTCTTTAAAAAAATGTGATTTATAAACCAAAAGAAGATTTGATTGAAGTGTATTAGGATCATAGTACACAAGGAACATCTTCAGTCATTGCATCATATGCATTAGTATTTATGATTGTTAGTACTAGGAAGACTAAAACAGCCCATTGCCCACTATTTCTCCAATGCATTTTTAACTGCAAATCAACTTACTGTACTAATAAAAGAGGTAATTACTAGTACTTTGTATGATGTTTCATTTTATTTCAACAGTTGAAAAAAGTAAAGTTGATTATAAAAGCTCAACGGTTGTAAAACATATTTAATTTTTGATTTCAGGTCTTGAATCAGTCATAGCTGGCATAACTTCCAGGCTCTCAGGCTGGGATGAATATATCTGCAACAGTGTGTGACATGGACGGAGTAAATTTACAAGTTCTCTCTATCTTGGGTGCAAATGTGCAACGACTATATTTTGCATTCCATAACAAAGAGATAGTGACCCTTTGATACGCCATATTTATTACATAAGGGATCTTGCAATGGGGTTAATGCATTTCACATTGAAATAATTTTGTTTTGCAGAAGAGAGCCATGAGAGCACTTTACAACCTAAGTCCAAAGGAGTCTTTTCAAGAAAGTTTTTTAGAAGTAAATATATTAACTATAGCGTTTTAGTAATTTATGTATTTGAAAATTTAATGTATGTTTTTTATTAATTTTTGTTTTTGTTAATTTAATGTACACAAAAACAACAATAGTTTTTATTAAAAATAGTAATGTATATTTCTGTAAATACTAGGAACAAGTACAAGCTAGTTATATCAGTTATTCCACTTCAAAGAATAAGTTTTCCTTCGTGGGGCAAAGTATATGCTTTTATAACAAGTCATAAAATATACAGCCTATCAAAAACTGAAAATTTTTAACTAAGCAAAGTTGTTCAAAATAAGGTTATTACAATAAAATATACGATTGATAAACCCCTGGGAATGGGGTGATTAATGTTGTTTCTAAATGTTTTAATATTTAATTGTAAAACAATATATTCTAAATAACATTTTGTTTAAATGGCCCGTTTGGACTTCTTGCTTGTTTTCTACATAGGACAGAGGCTTTTCCCAAACGAGTAAAAGCATTAATTACTTTATGAGTTTTGTAATCAAGTATTCTTTAATAAGTTTTGTAGTTTTGAATAAAATTTATTCTGTTTACGTCGTAACTGCAAGCATATAATATAGAGACAACATTTCTCTAATATATATATATCTATAAAGTCGCATAGACTAACAACACTAACATCAAGATAATAGATAGATAGACAACCAATTATTATCAAAATGAAATTGTAACGTTGCTTCTGAATGCACCCTTACACTTATAATTGATTAATATTAAATCTTAAATAAATAATAGTAATATAATATTCTAATCTAAAAATAAAAAGTAACGAATTATTACAATATTGTTAATTTAAAATAGTTATTCTACGGAACCATAGACTAGTTAATTTAATCCGCGCAGCGTGAACCATTTTGCTCAACGATCTCTAAAACAAAAGACTCGGTAGGTTTCGGACACGACGGCGAGTCCCCGTTCCGACCGAGACCGCTTCAAGTTCGCAACGCGCGTGACCCTTCTACTAACGACTTTTGAACCTGCTTACCTACAATTTAAATTATTCGAGGTGCAGTTGATCCCGCTGGGGTGAGTTCTTATTTATTGAAACATTGTAACTGTTCTGCTTAATTAATACCTCTTTTGCTGAGGCTGCTTAGTGCTTAGCTTTAAGAATTTTAACTTCCTACAAGGGGTGCTGGAATTGACTAGGGCGCATATAGTGCAATAGGAAGTTTCCCTAATGCTGGCCTCCGTCTGGAATTCCAGGATCTACTACCACCTAGCATCTACCTACTACCTAAGGGCTACTGCTGCCGAGCCGCGAGCTAACGGAGTGTTGGCCTACCCTCCTACCAACGGCCATCATCACTATCGGCTTGGGCTTCACCGGCCCTTCTGCTAACTGGCTGTCTACGGCCTTGGGGGAACAGCGCTTGGACTTCGCCCCTACGTCAGGCCAGTGATCCCCTTAATAGAATTACTTGTACGTGTGCGGAAGTAAGATAAATAAATAATTACAATACCGTAAATCTTGGTTTTTTAAGAACCCACCTATTCTGTACCCCTAACGGTACAAAATCATTATTTGCTGGTTTTACTCTGGTCTTGTGTACATGAGCTTATTTATTATTTAACTTGTTTTTGATTCAAATATTGCTATCTTGGGTATTGTTGACATGCTAGGGTTGTTAATTGTGCATGTTATTATCAATACATTCATAATTGTAAATCTTCTATATTATTTTATCCTTTTTTACATAGGTAATTGAAATATTGTAATCAGTATTGATTTTTATTTTCCTTTTTTTAACTCATGTAATGACTTAATAGACAGAACTAATTTTGCTAAAGAAATTTTGTCTCCCTTTAGTAGTGTTCTAGTATTATGCAAGTTTGAGAAATGTAATTCTGTACCTTAGAATCACCTTCTATTAAGCGGCCAGTATACATATACTAGTCGCCGCGGCGATGTCGGATGCATGGCTGTCACATTCCGTCTGGACTGTAATACTAAGCTTGCAAGACCCTACATTGTAGGCTTAGTATAACAATCTTTATAACACCCTTTGGGTTCAGACTAATAAAATGATAAATATTGTTGTCATTATATACATATTATATTATATTTTTCAGAGTAATCAAATTCGAAACTTAAGCTTAAATTCATAAATAATGATACAATGTTATTGCAGTTTTTGAAAATATCGGTAAATAAAACTTCTTCTTTTATTTGCGACTATCCCAAATTGAATCCGATTTATGGGCAACAACGTTTTTGCCTACTGATCGACTAACATGTTTCAAATATAAGCAAGCTTTAACTAAGTTTTAATGTCTTTATCTTACGAGGAAACTGTAAAATTATTAAATATAGATAGTTAAAAATGCAAACTGTTAAGCAAAATAACGACACACACTCACTATTTCTTTCACACACACACACTCACACTCGTATACTACACACCGGCATCTACATATTAATTTTACACTTACTGCTAAACTTGTAATATTGGTTTGTGATTAACAAATCTCCAATATTAAATGAACATTTTGCATATTATATTTTATTGTTTTAAGAAAATGAAATATTAACTGAGTCACTAAGTTTCAATTATTTTTATGTGAAATATAGAATAAGTTCTTGTAAACATTTACTATAACATTTGAATATTAATATAAGTGTGTGACATATTTATAGAATATCTCCCCCTGCCTTACTCTTGTACCATACAACTAAACATTTAGCTATAATAGTATTGAGCCATTTGTCGGATTAGAACTTTTATT